CTTAAATCTGATGCAAGTTCTTTCATTTTATAGGAACATAGTTTGTGTTCAGGTGAATTTTCATGGTAAGAAATTTTTTTAGGGTGTTTCCAATCTGAAAATCCTGTTTTTGAAAAATTAGTTTTATTCTCAAATAAGAGACATGGAACACAATAAATTGATCCAGTACTCTCAGAATAAGATAAATAATCTCTTTGACATGTTTCACCATTGATTAAAACAGTTTTGAAAAAATCTATATTCAGATATCTAAAATAGTTGCGGAAATGCCCTTTCTGAACAACACTGTACAATCTTTTTGAAGCTGTAAATTTAACATCTAGATTTTGACTAAATCCATTTTTACAGATATATTGCCTCATTTGATCATTTATACACCACAATGCTGGATCCAATCTTAAATAAAAACAAATATGAAGTAAAGTAAGAATTTATTTAAAAAAAATAATTTGAATTAGTGTTTCAACTTTACCCAGGTATATCAGTAGAATTTGGTTCTAATAAAATATTTATGTGCTCAGACTGTTCTGAGCATGAAGGGTCAGAATTCAAAAAACGAACAACTGTTGGGTCAATTTTGGATTGATCTACAAATTGTTCATTGATTACAACTAATGCTTGAGGATTAAATGTTTCAGGACTAGAATATAAAAGAAATTATTAAAAAATTAAAACTAGGTAGGTACTTAAATTGTTAAATATTACTTGACTATTTCACTAGATTTTGATTCTATGGAAATATTGTTTTGTCCGACATATAATTGTTCAGTATCCAAATTACCACAAAGAGCTATAGGGCTAGTTTGAAGTTGTTCAGCAGATTTATTAACCATACCTGACTCTGAGTAGAAATATATAATGGTATAATCAAAAATTATAAAAATACTAGTTGTGTTTAACCATAACTTAAATACAATACATTTTTTTATTCAATATACATGAATACCTAATTCATATAGTAATAAAATAACTAAAAACTACCTGATAAGAAAATTCATATATTTTGAAGTATAATATTTAACTTTTAAGCAATTGTTATTTTTTAACTATTTAAATTTCAGTAATAATATAATCATTAGGATTGGTTTAGTGTAATATTTAATTTCTTAAAAAAAAAAAAAAATTAACCTTATTTTGTATTCATATAAATTTCATACTATTATTACAGTCAACATAAATAAAATACTTACTTTTGAACATTGTGTCGATTTTAATAGTTTTTTGAACAACTTTATTCAAATTAAATTCTTTGAGCTTAGCTATTTTCTTGTATTCAGCCCCACTAAGCCTATTTCTTCTTGGAGCTATGACTAAATAAGATATAAAACATTATTACAATTATAAAATGTACCTACTACCTATCCAGAATGCAAATCCGTGACTTATATGAGAAAAATCAATTTCTTAAAAATAATGTTACAAGTACCTACTATATAATAAAAATATATCGTAACTAATATTCCGTAACTCTTAAGAACATATAGAATTAAAGCACAATTTAACATTTTGTAAATAATTAATCATAATAGTCTTTACTACAATATAAATATTAATTACCATATTAATTATTATTATACTATTGGTTTTATAATATTTTAAAATCAATGATAAATTATAATACTTACCTACTGTTTTGAATATACACACGTAGTATAAAAATAAAAAAAAATGTATAGTTTAAATAGATTTATTAACAGACAACGTCACTGGTCACTGCGTCTGTACAGCACTAAATCAATCGTTCACGAATAATTCACTAATAATTGTGTTTTGATTTTTGTTATCGATAATATTATAATAATAGCAGTGTAAATTGTCAATAATCGGCAGTCGTAGCTCCTTATATCATGACAATACCACAACTGTATGTTTTCTATTTTTAGTAAGTACTTTTCATAGTCTACGATTCGTAGAACTAAATTCGAATCATATGTTTACAACATCAATAGTCTTATGTTTGACCAAATCATTTTATTGATATTCGAGTTGATAACGAATAAAAACTTTATTAGGTACATTCTATATTCAAAATCTATTTTGGTATAATTATATTATTATAGACTAATAGACTATAGTTATTATATATTATATTTTCGTATCATACTCATTAAGTAAAATGAGCTACAAATAAATTTTACATTTTTGACCATTTCAATATTTTGCCGCCCCTAAACCTAATTTCAATATTGCCGCCAGGGGCAATTGCCCCTCCGAGCCCTCCCTTAAATACGGGCCTGCCTAACCAGTTTTAATATTATTCATATATTTTCTATATTCCGTGCAAATATCGATAAGAATATCACATATTGCTGTATTGTACGTATTTTCGTAATAGAACAAAATGTTTTCAACCTCTAGGGTGCTGATTTGGTGATTCTGAGGGTTGAACTCTTAAGTTTGGGAGCTGTGATCGGCACAAATATTATTCTTCATTCATTTTGGCATAGATTTAGTGTCATTCGCGTAAATCCGTATCGACGTTGATTTTTGTCTTTTAAATCTAGAGCATTTAATTTAACCATAAATTGACAATTTTTTAGATCTGTACATCGTAACATTTGTAGTAAGCCCGTCGAATAGGTTAATTAAATAAAATAAAACAATGATGATTTGCATTACTATATAATGGGAGGCGCAAGGTAAATATTTATATAGTATATTGTTCTACCATATATTTTTTTTATAGATCGACAATAGTTTGCTTGTATTTAAAAAATAATAGTATTTTATTGAGGCACGATTGGTTTTTTTTTTTTTTGTTTTGGGAATTGCGTGACTCTAAACAGTTTGAGAACCGCTAAGCTAGCTGATAATAATTATTATATTGCTTTGGTTAATCGGAGCAAATGTGGAGTTTACTGCAGTTATACGAATTATATGATAAATACGGTAATGTATGCGCGTGTATAATTAAATACAAAATTATTTTTCATAAAAAAAATAATAATGTTCTCTTGTTCGTGTACAAGAAATAGTACTGATGGAATATAAAATGTAAGTTAGTATTATTCAAATATTTAAAAAATGACTGCAGAGTTTGAAATGTTGCGTGAGCGCTTTTTGCTGACCTCATTGAAAATATGTTCTTAATAATTATGTACTTACAATATTATAATACACTGTTGTTTAAGTTAGCGTTGAACACTGGTAATACTGAATTACGCACGTATTATTAAAATGTATAATAAAAGAAAAATTATTAGATTCTTGAAACAAGTAATTGAAAATGCATTTACCCAGAAAAACATACACATATGCACAGTACGCACGTATATAAAGGTGTAAATACAGATGGGCCACGAGAATAGGTACAACAACTGGTAGACGTAACTCAGTATATTTTTGACGTACAAACATTTTATTAATATTTTATTATATGTAAGTAAGGGCTATTTCATTATTTTAAAATAATAACAGGCATATGAAGTCCATATTCTTTATACGATGAATGAATGAATGAACAAGATGAAGCGATTCTTCATTAATTATGGAAATTCCCACTCTAATTGTATCCTTAATGTCATCCAAAATGGTTCATAAACACGTGACTTAAGATAAAACACATCCCTAAAACGTGAGATTAGACGGCCGTGGAAAATTGTATGTACCGACATTCATTGTGACGGTGACAGTGTAATGAGATACTCCATCTTATTGAAATCAAACATTCAACGAATTTATGGTTCGCCTTCTTCTGCGCAACTCTGGTTTCAAGAAGTTATTAAGGTTGTCCGTGGGACGAGCACTTTTGACCATCAAAAATCGTTCTTTTACGTTCCTCGTAAAAATAAGAACCGATGATTAACTTTTTTGAAACAGTACGCCAAAAAGTTACACTCCACTGCACCAAAGTGCCAACTAAACGACATTATCTGATGGATTGAATGAACTTATATAGAACTTTCTACTTCCATTAAGCGTGAAGAAAAATCCATTTATTTTTTATCCTATTCCCGTGTCCTATCTGTATTATATAAACGTTGTACATAATTGTTCAGACATTTTACTAATAAGCACAATTGGACTGGACCGTTATTTATTCTTTAAGTTTAGATGATATTATTCTTTTTTTTTTACCATCAATTTAGTTATATTTTTATAATTCAATATTTAAAGTACGGAATTAACGAATAATATTGGCATAAAATAATAGTAATAAAATATATCTTAATAAGTTTGAGATGGACGTAGAAAATGATTTATACTTCCTATCTAACTTCAATATACACTTACAGCTCATATATAAAATGTCACCTCCGCGAAGGAGCCCGGTAGTATCGCGCAATGAGGTTATCGGCGATCAGGTTACCGCAGGGAAATGGAATTACATGTGTATCAATAGTGATGCGACCGTAGTGGCGATCAAATAATTTTGTCATGGAGGGAGATGTAGCTGATTTTTTAACAAACACTATATATAAAAATCTTTATTTTTAAACATGAAAATTATATTATATTGATATTAATAATTATTATTAATGATATTTATATTATTAAATGTATTTTTCTGGTTTTATTGCCAATTCATCCAGTACTTAGTCTGCAGTTATATTGACAACCTCACGATGAACAGCCATAGTGGCTAAACCATTGAGACGACTCTAAAATAATATAATTACACAGTTCATATAATAATATAATATATTATGTTAAGCATTAAGTACTAAATTTAAATTCCATAGGTTACATTCTACATTCTTATAATTTAACTATAAAAGAAATGAAAAAAACCTAAAAAGTTTATTTCAATTAATATTTTAGTATTTTATGTTTAAACTGTTAATTTTATTCCAGCCTAGAGACTGTATAATAACTAATAAGTGCAGTATATTTATTTTTTTAAATAGAAAATAGATGAATACATATATTATATTATGTATAATATGGATGAAATATAAATATTTAAAAGAGGTCATGGTGGATCTATCCCCCCCCCCCCCCCCCCGCCGTCACTGTGCAGTCGCGTTTATGATGTTATAATTATTGTTTGGCGTGTTCAGGTGTGCGGTCTCACCAACAGGAAGTTCACGTACCACCAAGCAAGATTGTCGAGCGAGAGGTTCGCCGCTTCTTTGAAAAAAAGAGGCACGACATCAGGCCAAGTGCTGGCCATACTCTTGCCGAACATTCCGGAGTTTGCCGTAACCGCGTTGGGTGCCATCGAAGCTGGTTTGGTCGTTACAACGATCAATCCGGTTTACACACCATGTACGCAACAATTTTTTATTTTATTTTTTTTTTTTTGTTAAGAGAATATTTACAATCTATGCTACAGACATAATAAGCAAATTTGATACATGTATACAAAAATTATAAGAACAACAGTGAACGAATATGTGTGGAGGAAGATTATCCAGCGATAGAACCCAACGTTATCTACGACAATTTTCTAACCATGGTTTTATTTTCGTATGATGCCAGTGCGTTTGTTCAGCGTGTCGGAAACACGATTTTGACAGCTAGAAAAAAATTAGAAAATTTACCATCCACGATTTTACGGTATTTGTTCATTTATCGACAGTTCATGATAATCGGTTAGGTTACTGATGTCGTGTATCGTATTGGATACATTTTTTTTTATTTTTGGCACGAAAATTTATGATCAAAGGCAAAAAAAATAAATATTCATTTTCGAAGAACATAATATGAGTAATGAGAACTTAGAAGAGTCATAGGAGCAGGGCCCCCACAAGGGGGGGGGGGTCTGATGGACCTTGAATACAGGGGCCCGGTTATTTTAAAGACTCGTGGGCCTGTTGAAATTTATTTGTAATTTTTGAAATTTTAGTAGAAATACTTATTTTACATTACATAATATTGTAAAATAATATTATATATATTATTTTGATAGTTCAAAATGCGAATTAACCAATGATTACCTAGAAATGAATAGATTGGCTTCGACAATCAATTTTGACGATATCATTACTAAGTTCGCCAAGCTCGAATCCTGCAAAATAAAATTTTAACTTAAAAAAAAATATTTTATAAAAAAATAAAATAGACATTATTAATGTTGAATTACTTATGAATCTTGAATTTGAATTGGTATAATGAAAAACAAATACTATTCCTATAATTGTTATGTATATATATAAATAGTAAATTGTATTTTTAGAAGTTTTATAAAGGGCCCGGACAAACATTTAGTATAGGGGCCCGAAATTGTATGTGGGGGCCCTGCGTAGGAGTACCTAGAGTTTTACATTTAATTAAATTTACACTTTCGTGTGTTCGACATTTTTTTATAATATAGAAGGTAGGCTATAAACATAGTCACCCGCTTTATGCATTTTTTTTAGATCATAATTTTTTTCCAAAAGTGCCGGGTCACACTATCCGTTTCTACCGGTACGATCCATTTAAGATGGGTAAAACACTATTGTGTACGTTCGTTATCGGCGATACCCTTTTAAGCTACACGATTTCGTACGAAGTTCTAAACGTTGATGCCAATTTTCATACCGGTATTGGGGTATACCACATGCCTATGCGAGAGAAATTAAAAAAATTAATAAATACTTTGTACTTTATCGCTTTTATTACCTATTTTTATTGTTAATGATATCAAATATATCAGATACAACGAAATTTCGTTATTTCCATTATGTTATACGGTATTTTCCGAGTTTCAGTAAAAGTAGTAGGTTATAGATGTAAAGGAATCCAAATTAAGCATTTTCAAATAATTTATTTACTAATTATTTTTCTTTTGTGGTGACGTAAACAACGCACCGCGAATCGTCCAAGTTGTTTACAGTATTGTCAGTTGATAAGGGGAAATCCTATGTTCTAGAACAGGGGTCTCCAACCTTTTTTTACCGCGGGCCAAATTTGATATACGCTTTGGCATCGCGGGCCAACATTTTTAGAAAAATAGATAGGTTATAAAATTGAGCAATAAATAATAATAAATAAGATTTATTTAAAAAATGTATGTTTATTTATATAATTTTTTTATTTTATAATTCAAAATTTCGTTTTATTATGATAAGAGTAAGTTATTTAGTGAGACGTTTGGAATTGCTTGTCTTTTAAAATGTCTTGAAAGTTTGCATCAAACTTTGTGGTTCCAATTAGCAGCGTCGCTTGTAAATGTTCGTCACTTAAGTTAGTTCTGTACTTAGATTTGATATATTTCATTTTTGAAAATGTCTGCTCACATAAGTATGTTGAGCTAAATATTGATATCATTTCACGCGCATGTTTTTTGAGATTTGGAAATGATTCCTCTGGCAACATGGCGTAAAATTGTTGGAGACTAGCTTCCTTGAAATAGTCTTTGAAATTGTTGTTTGATATGAGCTCGATAACTTCAAGCTGAAACTCTGTCGGTAAAGTTTCTATTTTTAATGCAAATGGATTTTCAAAAATTCGAATACGGTCTTCTGCACTTTTGAAATCTCTAAATCGGGTCTGGAACTGCTCTTTTAAATAGGTGAGAACTCCAACAGCAAAATCGGTAGGGAATTCTTTATAATTTTCAAGTTTGAATTTGTTGCATGTTGGAAAATGGGCAAGATTTTTTTCTATTAATTGATTTGTGAATAGATTTAGTTTTAATTTGAAAGCTCTAATGTAGGAATATGTATCTGAAATTAACGAGTTAGCTCCTTGCAACTTTAAATGCAACTTTAAACTCATTAAGGAGCTGAGTTATATCGACGAGAAAAGCTAATTTCCATAGCCATGTTAAATCAGTTAACTCAGTTATAACACGGTTTTTTCTGTCATAAATGTGTCGATTTCTGAACGAAGATAAAAAAATGTTTTCAAGACGTGACCTCGGCTGAGCCAACGAACTTCGCAATGATAGGGAATACTGGGTACTCGCTTTCAATTTCAGCAAGAAAGTTCTTAAACTGACGGTGACTGAGAGCACTTTTTCGAATATAATTTACATTCTGCACAACAATATTCATAATAACTTCATATATTGGTGCATTTTTCCCACACAAAGCTTGCTGGTGTATTATGCAGTGAATAGCCATTGGTGCTGCTGCACCAGTCTCCAATACAGCTTTACAAATATTTCCAACCAAACCTGTATGTGCTCCACACATGTTGCGTTCACCATCAGTAGTTACGCCTTTTAAAATGCTAAATTCAAGACCCAAAGTAAAAATAGATTCTTTTACCTTCAAAAAAATTTCATTACCAGTACATGAGTCTTTCATTGAGTGGACGGCGGCCAATTCTTCGGTTATTTCAAAAGATTCATTGACTTCGCGAACGAATAAAAGCACCTGCGCTGAGTCTGAAGTTTCGGTAGATTCATCCAAAGCAATTGAAAAATATTTAAAGCTTTTAGCAATATCTTTTAATTGACGAATAATATAATTTCCGAGATCTGTGGTACGTCGCGCAATTGTATTCGCTGACAAGCTAATACCGGTGAATAAATTGATTTTATCGGGACAAATCTCTTCAACTGTTTTCAAAATGCACTCCTTTACAATTTGGCCATCAGTAAACGGTTTTCCGGCTATCACTAGAGTACGGGCTACTTGAAAACTTGCTTTTACGAGAGATTCATTTTGACATGACCGTTTAATAAAAATTGACTGTTGAGCTAGTAAATTCTGTTTTAAGATTTCAAATTTGTCCGATCGTAGTTAACCAGATAGGTCGTTATATGTAGATGCGTGCTTGCTTTTATAATGTCTACCAATATTATATTCTTTCAAAACAGCAACCTTTTCCTTGCAAATAACACATAAAGCAACATAATTTTGTTCAATGAAGAAATAGTCATTATTCCACTTTTTGTTAAAAACACGGCACTCTGTATCGACTTTCCGTTTTTTTACTTAAACTCATATTTATTTTAATACAGCACAGAGCACTACACTCGATAATAAATGACACTTAACTACAATAATCATAAAAACTGATTCTACATAATTTATAAATTACACCCGATATACTACAGTGGACTCACGCAGTTAGAAAAACCCGTCGATCACACGTTCGATAGCATTATTATTACAACGGAAAAAGTCGATCATATCTTATCTGACAATCGCGTAAGTTTTGAGTACAATATTAGGCAGATAAGTGTGATTGACGAGTTTTTCTATTATTCGTGTTAGTATATATTTACAAACATAAATTGTTATGAATAATACCAAAAGAAAAAAAATAATAAATTTATTTTATTTTATTAATTAATTCAATAAAAAATAAATTAAACTAATGAAAATTAATATTAATATTAATGTTTTTTTATATATTATTTTTAAAACATTAATTAGCTAGGCGGGCCGGTGTAAAAACCTTGGCGGGCCGGATTCGGCCCGCGGGCCATAGGTTGGAGACCCCTGTTCTAGAATATGCGATGATTATCTCGTTAAGGTAATTTCGAGAATGTTCTAGACAATCGACGCCGATATATAAACATATATATATATGTATAAACCGGCTGGTCAGACGCTCATTCAATCAGTCCGTGAGTACAATCCGCGACACACCGTGAATTACACTCCGCGATATATTCGGCAATTCCTCCGCAATTGTAACGCGTATCGATATTTGTACATACATATTTATATAATATAGTGTCTATTTTAATTAAATTAAATTGTGAGTGATTTTTATTACTGAAATCCCACACTTTTATTTAGTTAATCTCATTTTATTTATTATTTTATTATTAATTTTTTTATGAACTATTTTAGAAGTAGTTATATATAGTATATGTATTCTATATTATATTATTTATTTTTTTTTTAGATATAATGCGGTGAATAGTAAATTTGACAACGTTGCATACAATTTCATGCGCAATCGTGTTAATTTATTTTTCTTACCTCCTCTTTTTGTTACCTATCTACAAACGTACGCAATCGTGTTGCCAAAAAGGACAAATGTATGCAATCCTGTTCTACCCTTTAAAATAATAATAATTGAATATTAATTGTAATCAATTTTATCAATAGCTCAATAACTAATTTCATCATTATTTCTAAATTATTAAAAAGTTCTAAATTAACCTTTTTATATCAATAAATTATAAATATGTTTTTATTTCTCAATGGCCTTTGTAGCCGAGAGATACTTTATATACTGTCGTAGATAAAAAAATTAAAAATTATTAAATTATCAATTTAATAGATGTTTAAATGCTAAATATACTGACAGCGTTTCAACGGATAGTCGCGGTTTGAAAAGATTGATGAATATACTATCTATGTAAACTAGTGCTCTGCACGGTCCAGTCTGGTCCGATCTTATCGTATAAAAATAGGTGAAGGATCGATTCGGTCCGAATCAATATTTTTTTGAATGATTTTGGTCCTGTCCAGGTTTAAACTATAATTTCGGTTCGGTCCGGTTTCTAAAATATAATCAAATCGGTCCAGTCCGGTTCGGACCGATCGGTCCCGATTAGTTTAAAATGTACGGCTAATATTACAGCTTGTTTCAAATCTAATATCTTTTGAACAATGATTTAAAATTATAAAGATATTATTTATAGAATTAATAACACGAATATTATCATTATGGCCCATGGGAATGAATATTTTACCCCAGCACCGTTGTTTTATACAAATTGTATGTACTATCATGTATATTGTATGTATCTCAAAGCTGTTCATGGTACCTATTGGCTATTAATAATTTATTATTGAACATATTTTCAAGAAAAATTATTATTCTCGTTATGGTGCGGGTAACGTGGAATAATGTGGAAGTGCCCGCCGCGCTGCACCGTCCAAATATATAAATGTATACAACTGCCAATGAAATACTTGCGCATTATGATCTTGATTTATATTAATTATAGTTTATCTTTACATTTATTTGGGGAACGGATTTTGGAAATGAAATGTGCACCTCTAATTTCTATACATTCTTGTCGATGATGCTGGTAAACGGTAATACTTGGAAAATATTCGATTAGCTAGGCAAGAGAGCAAGTACTTCGATATTTCCACGTAAAATTCTTTGTAAAAATAATTAATACTCAATAATGCGATGAACACTAATATAGTATAGTGTAGTATATATATATATACCTAATATACCTATACTAAAATATAAATTTACCATAGTTTATTTTCAAGGTGAAATATTTTTTTGTTTTGATCGTTTGTTCGCTCTATCATATTATGTTATACTTGGAGTCTTGTATGGTAGAAAAAAAAATAGGTCCACCATCAGGTTCAGTCCGGTCCATAAGCTTTTACAGTCCGAAATTTATTAGTTCGAACCGACGGTCCGGTCTCTAAAATTACGGACCGTGCAGATCACTAGTGTGAACGTTAGACTCGTCCCTAGCGAAAACTGAATAATCGGAATAACTTATTTAACGTATTAATATTTTCTCTTAAATGTCTGATAAACACGTTGATAACACGCTGATAAAACTCAATTCTGAACACCCGAATTTTTTAATTTAACGAGCATGTTAATGTTATAATACGACGAGTATTATACTAAATCCGAGTTAATTAATTTCACCTGAAATATGTACTCCGCTCATTTGATTTATCTTTCGACTTTCAATCATTTAAATTTCGTTTGCTGTCAAAGTCATTTTAATAATGAGACATGTAAAAAGTCCTCCGACTCGAGTTTTTGTTTTATCGCTTAGATAAATATTCTTATTTTACTCGTTGCACGTAATACATAGTAGAAATAGGCCGTAGATTTATTTTGATTATTTAAGTTCATTGAAATATTTAAGTATTTATCTAGGCAAAAATCTAGAGTATATAAATCCATCTAGAACAGTGGTTCCCAAACTGTGCTACGTGGAGCCTTTAGGGCTCAACAAATGGTTTTTCAGTGGCTCCGTTCGATTAAACCTAAAATATTGAATAGTACAACAATTAATAATCTTAATTTAAAACAACAATCATACATATGTACATTTTAACTCTTTAAGACTCATTAAATCAAATATATAATATATTTCATCGATGTGTGTACAAACAATATTGAAATACCGATAAAAAAATGTAATCGTTTAATTTTAAATGACACGCATTCCCAATCCAAGTATTATCCGGCTGGGTATATTGTTAATAAATAAAAATAGTAGATATACAATATTTCGTTTTGAGTTTTCTCCTGCATACATATCATGAGCAATATGCAACGTTGAACACAGACAAATAAAACATAAGTTATGAAATATTTCTTGGGACTCCACGAGAAAATACTGCTTAAGGAAAGGCTTCGTAACCGAAGAAAAACTTTGGGAATCGCTGCTCTAGAATATTTAGAATTATATCTAGATTATATAGATGCACATGCATATGATTAATTTTTACCGCTTACGTTTGAAATTTTAGTTGAAATCGCTCATCAGTTCAGAAATTCTGGTGCTTCGGGTGTAGTGACGATTCCCGAGCTCTTGCCCAAAGTGATCGATGCTCAAAAACTAATGGCAAATGAACCCAAAAAGAAACCGATATTCGTCGTGTCGATCAATCTAGGTGGATCCAAACCAGATGGCACGTGGGATTTTAACGAAATGCTTGACCCTTCCATCGACACATCAATTTTGAAACGATCTGGATCCAACGAAGACATGGTTTTTTTACCATACTCGAGTGGCACGACTGGTCTGTCCAAAGGAGTCTGTCTCTCACACAAGAACATAATGGCCAACATAGCTCAAGTGGATCATCCAGAAATAACGCACTTATTCGAAACGACAGGTAAAAAATATAGTATAACATGACTTTTTTATCGCAACACGAAAGCTGATTTAGAATAAATTACCTTATATTTTAAATATTTCGAAACGAATTCACAAACACATTTATAAACGAATGTATACAAATTTAAAATGTGTTTAATCGTACGTCTATCAGAATGATACGATTTAAATATTTAGTTATTTTTTTTTAGGAATACGTATGCAACAATTTTAAATTGTTAATAATTAATCTATATAATGATACTATTGTTAAATGTTTACAATTTTTAATATTTAAAATATTGCTGAAAATCATACTTTTAGTTAATATTGCTCAAGCTATTGAAAAATGTACATCATTTACATGATAAAAAAATAACAATGAATAATTTATTATTTATTTTGTTAAGACGTTAGTGTGAAACTTACGAAAGTTCAAAAAGGAAATAAACGTTATAAAAAGAAACTAAAAAAACTTGGTAAATCAAAAAAAATATCAACATTTTGGTTCTTTTGATGGTTCAGCAATGGTAAAAAAGGAATTCCGTTGTCTCACACAAAAAGAAAGAGTAGAGAAAGAAAATCAAACAAATAAGACTACGAGCGTAGAATAAACATATGAGAGTTGAAAACTTTTGAAGTACCTATCTTATGATCCGAACATTTATATTTTATATTCTATTACTTCCCAATGATTTTTACTGGATGTAGAATTAATTAACTAATATAAAAAGGTAAAAATAAATGGTCAAGTATTTATCTACGAAAAAACGAAATATTATAGCCATTAGTATATAAAAAAATATTTCCATTACTTTTGGGACTATCGGTCCACTATGAAATCATACGTGCTCAATAATAAACCCAAGAAACTATAAAACCAATTATTCATAACTAGTTCGAAATTTCCCGTTGTCAAATAAACGAAATTTATAACAACTTTGGTCTATGCGTGTATTGATCACATACTGAATATAGAAATAATTCAATAGTTTCCAGCACGACTGACCGAAATTGAATAAAGGAACACAGCTCTAGGAAGTAGGCTGAAAATAAGTATAATAATTTAATAGAAACAAAAGCATTACGTTCATCACATTCATTCCAGATTGCAGAAAACGCATTAGTTCGGTCTGAATTAAATTAATGTAAACTGCTTTGAAATATATTTTAACAAATACGTTGAAATAGTTAAAAAATTTTGTTTGATATCTGGTCTAAAGTTATATAGATATAGACCGTCGATTTTGGTTGAGAATTCTACAATTTGAAAAAGTAAAAACTTGAATTCTACTCAGCTTTTTAATAGTTATTGGCTTGTTATCACACTTTACCGTCGTTAATCTCATTCTGAACTTCATCAAGCGTTACATATTTATACGAGTGATTCATAATACCATAAGTTTACTAGCGTAAATCATGTGACTATTTAATTGCAAATTTTAACAATAACTTTTAAAAACTGTGTGTTTTTTGTTATTATCAATTTATATAATATTTATTAAGAGTAGTTCGCAATCCAAATATATTTTATTTTGCAGTTGGATAGTCAGATATAAGCAATTTACAGGGTTGAATATCTTTTTTTTATTAATTTACAATTAATATAAATAAAGATTAGTTATACATCTATTATGGTATTATATATTTATACCTACATTATTTTTTAAGGTTTAATTACACTATTGAAAAAGCAGCAAATTAAAAAAAGCATATCTACTACGAAATTTTGATCAAAAATTCTTTGCAGTGGTAACCACGAGCCTGAAAGAATTACTAAATATCACACGCCTTTTACAAATTTATCATGAATTAAATTTCGTTAGAGATTTACCATTTATGACGGACACATTATAATATAATTTATTTGAACGTTATATGTGTTTTAGAAAATTATCAAGACGTATTGCCGGCCATTTTACCATTTTTCCATATTTATGGTCTTACTATGATTATGTTAAGAGGCTTGGTTAAAGGTTGTAAATTGGTTTCACTGCCTAAACTCGAATCGGATATATTTTTGAATATTCTTAAAACTTACAAGGTAAAAGAGTTTTGTGTGGGTTCTATAGAAATGTTTAATTAATTTTTGTAATACTTTGTTTTAGGCAACAGTATTGTATGCGGTACCACCAGTTGTGTTGTTGTTAGGGCAACATAAAAATGTTACCCAAGAACACTTTGAAAGTTTAAGAATTATTTGTAATGGCGCTGGTCCTGTGAAAGAAGCAGATGCCGAAAAAGTACTTGCTAGATCCCACAACAAAAATCTACGTTTTTGTCAAGGTAAAACTTTTTTATCCAATTAAATTTAAAGTGTTTTTTATAGGTAAAAATCTCGAAAAAAAAACATGAAAACAATGAAGAAAATGAAGTTAATAAGTGTTGGGAAGTAAATTTAAATTTTATATTTATTTTTATAACATTGTTAGAATGTATAAATAACATAAAGAGTAAAACTGAAATTAAAATATCTAAACATAAACCGAAATATATTGAAATACTTGATATTTTTCACAAAAAAATGTTTTAATTCATTAGTCAGACCTAACGAAACGTTGAAACTAGTATAATATATGCCAATGTTTTGTTTGTTTAACAAATTAAAATTTACACAGATTTTAAATAACTTTTTCCTAAACTACAAAGGATGGAAAATAATAATAATTTTGATGACTTTTTCTCGGGAATTGTATACGATTCGGAAATAAAAAACTCTTCATTCAAGTATTTCCCGCTATTGAATTTCACGTTATATGACCTTTTTATGACTGAAGAATTCGTATTGTGCTTTCTTTCTTTAATTTATTAATGCTTCGCGTTATTAAGATTTACATTACCTCTTGGTGAATGTTATTTACTTTTTAAGATTTTCTAAAAGTTCATTATTTTCTGAAAACCTCTAATAAAGGTAAGTTACATAATATGAATTGGTCCATTGTATTAGTGCATAATGGTGCTGCAGATAATTTTTTAACCTATTCTCATATTTGTAATGAAATATTAAGTGTCTAATGATTGAATGCTAAATAATTCGTACGCTTTTAAAGTAAATGTTCGTGATTAATAAGAACTTGTAAGATGCAATACCAAATCAGCTTAATAATAAATCTATTATAGTAGTTTTAACTCACATTCTCAGATATTTCTAACGATAAAATGAAGTGAAATATGCAGATGAAATTATTTTATTTTTTTTTTATGTTAACCCCGTTATTGTGCTCTGAACCAAATTCAATATTTACATTATACGAGTACAGTTGTAAGACATTTATGAGTCCTAAGATACAATGTTTCTAATTTTATCAAAATAATTATAATTTTTTTCATTGTTTCCGAGGTATTTTTTTAAAAAATTCAAGAAAATTTAAAAAAAAACCGGTTGAAAATATTTTGTTTAAAATCAAATTTGATTTAAAAAACTCATTATGTAAAACTTTTAGTTAAACACATTACCTACCGTTTCGAAAGTTCAGTATTCATATTTGAATTATTATTTTAAGACAATTAAAATTCACGAAATTCCAAAATTACTGTATTTATGACAAAAGTATTAGCCGTCAACAAGTTTTTAACGATTAGATGGGTATTGAAAAAATAATACTTCCGAGAAAGTATGAATATAATGTTATAATGACGTGTTAAGTTGTTGTTATAAATCAAATTAAAATATAAAATATAAAATGCACGAAAATATAATTGCCAGGGGTTTTATGAAAATATAATTTGTGGTTGTTATGTTATTGGAATAAAATTTAAAAAAATAAAAATATAGAAATAAATTAAAAATTAGCCTGAAGTATTTAATTAAAAAATGAATCATCAGGCCTGTATAAAGTTAATTAAATTGTAGCTGAATATGAAAAAAATAAAAAATATTGAGAAAAATAAGTCGTTTTACATAGAAATAATTTGTTTCAATTGAATAGATTATTTGAAATGAGTTCTTATTAGATATTATTATTAATGATATTAATATTATGTTAAGAAACACAAATATTTTGATTATAATTATTTTTTATTATCTAAAATGTATTGATATAAGATACTATTTTTAAAATAGGATTTTACATTTAAAATATTATTAAGGTTTATTTTTCTTTATTTCATTGTGCAGGTTTACCTCTTCTAAAACTGAATTAATGTAAATGTTATTTTGGGTATTTAATATCTCTACGTCTGTATTGACATCAAAATGTATATTATGATTATTTTCTTAAACATATTTAACAAAATTGAATTAGAGGCGGTCTTTTTTAATTTTATTTCAGAAATGTGTTCTTTATTTCTTATTTTAAAATTTATATTTATCTTGCCTATATTGTTTAAAAAAAATACTTGATATATAGAAAAGGATTAAAAAAATTTCCAATAGATACATTGAAATAGTTTTGCTTACAACGATTTTACGAAATTTTTTAAAACTCATTTGAAAAATCATTTTCCACGATTTGACTTTTATTCATAACAATCACACTTATTACTACTGGTCGTTCAATTTATTTGCAAAAAGTCTATTTGATTACTCGAGATCCTTTTAGGTACAGTGGAGTTACAAAAGGTACGTAATAGAACCGACTTATGAAAACAATTACACTGTGACTCCTATATAAAATCGACTGATTGATCAATCGATTTTGAATTAAAGGTGTTATACTAATATTCTCTAAATTATGAATAATCCTATTGTAGTTAGCGTTTTGAAAATTATTATAATACGTATGTTGAAAATCAAACATATGGAAGTCTGAAGAATAGGAACAGGTGATAGTGAAGGATGGGTGGTACAAGTCACATGGAACTAGATAGTCAGCAGCCTAAAATACTTCGGTTGAGCAGCTATTAATGAAAGTCGAGAAGGTTGAGAAGGGATCCAGCGCTTTTAGGAATTTGGTTTTTATTTTGCATGAAGTGTAAATTGATCATTAACAGTTTGGACTTTATCTGTAATACTACCAGTATAGACCAGCACCGAATCGCTAATGTTTCAATTAACATTAGGCAATCGGAAGTCATCATAAACCAAACCATGATCAAATACATTAGATCGCCAGGCTTGATCGACAGATTCAACCTGCAAACAACATAATGATTAATTTTGTCAAAACTTATATGAAACCATAAAAATGTATCAATTTGTTGTTAAAATGATTTCTTGCTATGCAGTCATTCGTCAAACAAATCAATGTAATAATGATAAAAACAAAGCAAATATAATAAATCAAATAACTCGACGATACTATAACTCTACTCCATGAAACGTATCCCATAAACCTTTTAGTTATCGTTATGATAGTAATATTGTCACGATGGCAATATTATTAATTTGACAAACAATAATAAAGAAGATGATACGTTTTGTCACGAGTATTGGATTCAGTCAAAATGAATTTATTTTTATTGGCCCGTTAAAACAGTTCTGTCTTTAATACGAAGGCCGCCACGCCGACTGGTATTTATTGAGAACTATTTTATTGGCAATAATTCCAGTTTATACAGATATGTATGTGTGTGCATATGTATACATGTATAAATATTTATGTGTGTGTGTATAAGTAAACGAACATTAATGTACATCAACCCCTATTTTTGTGAACAAACTATTATGTGCAGCAAAATGATTCATTTTTACACTGAAAATTTAATATTAACGTACATTTTGTTTTTACCGACCTTTAAAAAAAAAAAAAGAAATAGGACATGAATTAAGTGCCTTATCCCTGATTAAAATCTTAAAAACGGAAAACCCAGTAAAGTTAATTATTTTGCTTTCCTGGTGCGCAAATTGTGTATCGTTTGTACACGAACGCTTCAAGTCCCATCATTTATACACACGAATTGTAGAAATTATCTGTAAATCAAGTTAGCTCACTTGACACTATAAACGATAAACAAATGATACGCAAATGATTTACGTACCTGGAATGCAATAGTAAACATTTTCAGAGACTTCCATTTCTAGAGCCCACCAATTTGATATAAATATAGGTCCCTTAATTCATGTTCACAGATGTCGGAAAATCGTACACATTCGAGCACGTACGATGCACAAACGTTTGATATGATGAGAATTTTAAGATTTTGTATTTGTGGGCCGTTAAAATAGATCCTATACAAATATACTTAAAATTAGTTCTCAGAAGCAAAGATCTATATTGAGATATTCTATTTTATTCGATCGTCGACACATTGCATTCGATGGCTAACAGATCAAAATAACTAAAAAATACAATACACTGTGGAGGGACATGATTTAAATGGATTTATATACTGAAAATAAATTAATTTTCCATCACACAAGATACATGCTGGGATATGATATTATCGATATTTATTTTTTAAGTATTTGGTTTTGCAGAATTTATGTTTATCATAAATTTAATCTTAAATAATTATTAATTTCATTATACAATTATACATAAATTATATTTTGTAAAATAGCTTTAAATGCCAACAATTATCTGGACGCTATGACTTAGTATACATGACAGAAGTTTAAATTTACTTTTAAAGTAGTCATCGGTTAAACCTTACAGTATTTTATCCTTCTTAATATTTTGTGTCATTTGCGATTGTAGCTATAGTATATTGAATTCGCTGAAAAATAATAACTAGTTAAAAACGAAAATGCTTAAAGTACATATCAACATAACACAAAATATTAACACAAAAAAAAAACCATTCGTACTCTATATTAACTAACGTATTAAAATTATATAATAAAAATATTTAATTAATGAGCTTTTTTTTTAAAATGGTGAATTATAATAGGCTTATAATTTCTATCGTGGAAATATTAATTTTTAAATAATTATTAAATTAATATTTTAATAGAGGTGATGAATAAGATGAGAGTATTAATATCAATTTTTTTTTTTTTTTTTGTAAGCTTCATTCTCATTAAATTAATTAATGTTTAATATTTCAATTTATTGAAAACATGTTTAACTGCCATCATCTATAAAAAAATTATCAAACACTAAAGCTTATTATGTTTTTGATCTTTATCAACTGTATGATTTAAACGAAAAAATAAGATTTGACAATAATTAAACCATTTTTCTAAATCTAGATTAAATAATATTAAGCAATCAAAATCTAAGGGTTTGTATACCTAAATTTATCTTCATAAACCTATACTTTTTTTAGCTTTTGGTATGACTGAAGCTTCACCTGCAGTATTCGTGTCTAGAAATGCTGACATGAATGATCATTTAACTGTAGGTCCTCCTATACCTAACACGTTAGCTAGAATCGTCGATACGACAGATTCTACAAAAGAATTTGGTCCCGGAGAAATTGGTGAAATTCAAGTAAAAGGACCACAAGTAAGTATCTGAAATCTATAAGAAGAAAAAAAATAATTACAAAAAAATGCATGTGGAATTTTATGTAGGTAATGATTGGCTACCACAATAACCCACAAGCTACGGCTGATATATTAAGTCCCGACAAATGGCTAAGTACCGGTGATATTGGTTACTACAATGAAAAAAATGAATTCTATATAGTAGACCGCATTAAAGAACTAATCAAAGTCCAAGGATATCAGGTAAACGGCTAATTTAATTAAAAAAAAATTAAATGTGAAAAGTGCGAGATAAAGATTATATAATAGAGTCAATTAAGATACAAGGATTGATAATTTATGAGGGCAAATTGTTCAGTGTTCATATTCATTTTAAATTTATGTACCATTGGTTCCAGAAAACTGTTTAGTTATTCTTTATTATTTAGAAAACTATTGAAAAATTAAAAATATAACCTCCTAATATTATTTTTAAGAAATATATTAGGGTACACAATAAAAGAAAAATGGCATTCCATCTTTGAAATATGTCAAAAATACAACATGAGATTTCGTATTTACCTTCTACATTTTCTAAAACAAATGTATGGCTCATATAGGTCATGTATAGGGCCTATAAAAAAATATTTGAGCCTTGATTATCAAAAAATATCAGTTGAACATGAACATAAAATCCATTAAATAAAAAGACCATGGAGGAATCCATCCTCCATCCATCACCCCCGTGAGAACGCTCATGTTCATTTCTTCAATTCAACATAGGTTTGGAAAAATTTTTATGTGAGATTTAATTTCTCCCAAAACTAATTTAGTAAGACATAATTTAATATTGTATTTAAGACTCCTGATTGTGCAGCCGTCCGAAAAATCATAGTCTCTAGACCAACTTTAAACGTATACTTGACATTTACATTCACTTTAAATCTTTTTAAACTTTTAGTTAAACTCAAATATCTGTAAAATTTACTTTCTAATGCGGTTATTCCTTTCAGAAAATACGTTCGACATTTTTTTTTTCCATAGGTATACATTTTTTAGCTGAAACATCTGTTAGCTAATGCATTTTTAAATTAATCATAAAACTTGTTGTGTCTAATTTTTTAATGCAGTTAAGTTTCTTTTGCAGAAAAATTGCTGCATAATGAAGATCAATATTAAATTCAATAGTAACTCTTACTATCATAACAATGTATTTGAACTTCCATGGGTTTTGGTTTGTTCGTTTGAAAAAAAAAATAGAAAATATAATAAAACCATGAAATTATGTATAAGAGTCTCCGAACTATGTACCTCAAAAATTCGTAATAATACAGCATCAGATCATAAGTTACTATACGATTCAATGAATCTTCTAAAATATCTCGTTCACTTTTAGTTTTTCTTTTCTTCTTCTAATAATTTTCACGCCAGTCTAAGAATATTTATTGTTTTACATTTTATTCCGATAACGTAGTGTTACACTGCAATTGTTCGGTGTATTTTTATATTCAATAGGTAATTTTCATACAGTGGCTAAACATCTAAACCAAACACAATTTTTTTTTTTTTGCTATTGTTGTTGTAAGCCATTGTAAACCATTCGGGACTTATTGGCTTTTAAATTCCATAGTGACGAACCTGTATGTATCAACTTTAGATTGACCTGAAAATTATGCATAAACTCGGTATAGTTGGTACAATACTCTCCAAGACCTGACATCGTTTCACAAATATTTTTTTTAAATAAGTCTAAAATTGATCATAACACCTACGGATAAAGAAGTATCAGTGATTATTAATCGTGGCTATTTTTAAGACCTAAACACTAACGTAGACGATTCTGTCTAAAATAATGTTATTTGTAGTATATGTTTAAATTATTTGACCCGGCCTAGGGATAATTGCAAAGTAGATAAGTCAAGGTTATCAAAGGTTAAAAACCAAAATTATATATACTTTTGTATGTGAACACATTATATACGAATGTTTTGCCGAACACGTATTTTGTATTGTAAATAATTGAACGTCAACACATTATTTAGTTAAGCATATACAAATGCTTAAACTGATGTGTTTTATTCTTTTCTTGAAAATATGGTAAAAATGTAAGAACTATAATGTAATTTACACGTGCAGATGTGTGTTGAGATGATCGAACGTATTTTTCTTAGTAATACGATTAAAAAAATTACGATGAAACTCGGTGTTACTCGCAAATTCGCTGTTTGTCGTATGAAATTTTAATCCGCTGAAATTTCATCAACGTCAATCACTGCGTGTTCCAGGTACCTCCGGCTGAACTAGAAGGTCTGTTGAGGACCCATCCTAACGTAGTGGACGCTGCAGTCATTGGCGTGCCAAACGACAGGACGGGCGAAGCACCGCTGGCGTTCGTCGTGCTGGCCGATGGGTCGTCGGCCACGGTTAGCGAGGAAGACGTGGAGAAATTCGTGGCAGAACGCGTTGCGCCCTTTAAGCGTATCACGGCGGGCGTGCGGTTTGTCAATACGTTGCCCAAAAGTGCGGCTGGAAAAATACTGCGGCGAATCCTTAAGGACGAGTACTTGAAGAACGTCAAGTGACAGCCGTGCTAAACGACATCCGGGGCCCCGTTACGACAATGCCGATAACAATGATAATATTTGGGTGCCTATTTTATACGCCGCACAAATGACTTCCGTACGGGCAAAATTTATATTTTTCGGCTATATAATATTATTATATAATTATTGTACGTATGCCCGGAAATCGTCTATACGAAGTACAAATTAGGCCCTTTGAACAAAATGGAAAAGGCAAAAAAGAAACATACCAAAATAGAGAGAGAGAGAAAGAGTAAGAGAAGGATAAAACATTTTGTCTTGGTAACATATATAACTATATAACTACATAGTTAGCTGAACTAACTAACTAAATGGTTATGTTTTGTCATGCCGCGTGCAGTATTTTCTGATTGTTGTTAATTTTCCACTCATTGATATTATTTCATTGTTATAATATTGTCTCGCCCCGGTGTGGTTGCACTGCACATGTATAACATAATATTAATTTGTTTACAGTTTATCATACTAATTTTGTATTGTATGTTAAAATATATTATTTATACATTTTTAATAAAATAATTGTTGGGAACTAACTTTGACGCGATAATTTTTTACGTTTTTTTTTTTAACGTATACTATTACGTTTTTTATGTTTGTAACACCGCACGATCATTTTAATAGAGTAGTTTGCGCAACACATTATACTTATCAGTATCATAGTAAATAAATACCATAAATCATAAATCTAAAGTAAATTATTGTGTGTGTGCCATGTGTGCACAATAAACCATTCAGAAAATTGAGACGTTCCCGGATGCTTTTGTCCGACATGTAATATACGTATTATGTCTCGTCGTCTTGATCTTCGAGGCTGGCCGCCAGATTTTTTTTCCATACAACCAAGAATTCATTATTATTTTATAAATAGTATATATTAAAATAATTGTTAATAGGCCAAAGTTTTTTAGTTGGCCAAAAACCCTACATCCACCCATAATTATAATTATATTGTATAACTTTTTAATCCTTATAGTTCCTCTGTATAAATAAATACAATTGGAATAATTGTTGATGATATCGTTAAAAAAACTATCCATGTGAACATGAAATACTCGCATATTCATTTATTTATACCAATAGTAATATTAACGATTTACAATAAAATTAACATTAATTTCACATAAAATTAAAATAACTGTCAAGTGTTATATGCTATTTTTATAAATTGTGGAACGAATAATAACAGTATAAAAATATTACGAATTTATGTCTTATAAAAAAATTTGCTCTCAATCTTAGCACAATATACTAAAATATACCGTCACAGTTCAGGAGCGGATCCAGAGTCGGGGAACTGTGGGTCAAGCCATTTACTAGGGATGAAACTGAATTAGAACCTTGTAAAAAAAAATACACAATATGCTCATAAAAGTGTATAAGTATATCTAAATAACATTTTAGAATTAGTGATACCACCGATAATGACTTATTTACGATTAATAAATATAATCTAATTTTATCAGCGCAACAAATGTACGAAATAAAATATGATTTACTTAACTTTCTACTAAAACGATATAATTTAAAATATAAATTATGAATTGAAAATTTTAAAATTTGAATATACATGGCATTAATTTTTTAATTAACTCCGACGGGCTAACTGTCCAAGAGTCGAAATCAAGGTCTAAAAAGAGAAAAAATTTCCAAGAGGCCAATTTTATCAACAAATATTAACTGTGAGTCAGCTGACACCGTGAACCCCTTTTTATCACAGTTATATTAGTTATTCTGTTATACTAAAAGAATCGCCCTGTATTCTAAGGTATGATTTTCGACATCGAATTGATAAAATGTTTGATATATTTTGACCTACATTATCGAACTACATGCTACAGCTTGCATATCTGCTGTAGCTCTGAAAATCCATAAGGTATAATAATAATAATAATAATAATAATAATAATTTTAACCCATAACTGGTAAAGCGTGGTCTCACAGACCGCTGCTGTTTTTAGTTTTTATTTAGGTGATAAGGTATTGCTGATATGATCATGGAGGTAGATTGTACTGTGGTGGGCCACAAGCTAACCTAACCTAACCACAATGCTCCCTCACCACGGTGTCGCGATTGGAAATTATGCGGAGGTATCGTGTCTACAACGCCGCGACAGTGAGCCCGCGCTCGTTCTCGCGCCTTGACCGTCGTACACGATGTACCGTTCGTACCATCAAACTTCTTTTCGCGCACTTTTCTTGTATTCAGTGGCGTATCCAGGATTCATTTAACGGAGGTGTTTTAAAATATAATAGACTTATGGTAAGTAGAGCCTCTGCCCCCTCCCCCGAATTACATAAATAAATTCCATGTATTTATATAAATGAAAATAATTACATTAAGACAGCATATGTAAAATCTACAAGTTGTATACAACGTTTATTCAAATGATCAAAGTAAGTTTACAATTTGATGAAATACCATAAAATAAAGTCGATGGGGGGTGTTCTAACACTCATATCACCTTCCCCCATAAATACGCCCCTGCTTGTAATCAACACCTTTTGACTTTGTTTCGCGATACAACTAACTCGCTCGACTCGCTCTCGCGACACTGTCGTTCTGATGTTCGCCTGTTTTGTGTTTTAACGTTTTCGCACGAACTGTTGCGTTTCGAACTCGCGCTCGCATTTTGATTATACCGAATATGCGTTCACATTTTATTATACACGCGTACATGCGCACGTATTTTTGCTATTAACTGTTATTTTTATCTATTTACATCTTTCAATAAATAAACCTTGTTATATTTTTTAAATGTATTATTTAATTCGTTATTGTCGTTGGGAACTAAATCTAGCAACTCCCATCGCGAGATGACACGAGTCCCACAGTACCTTTCTATAGAGATAGCATTAAAATAATAACCATGGTTATGGAGGTTAATATAATAGATTTTGGTCGTCACAGCTGTTTAAATTTGATAATATTGATAAAACGATAACATAATTTTCATTATAATGGTTTTATATATTGCTAAATTTAAATTTAAATATTGGTGCCATAAATGAGTATTGTTGTACCTACTCTACATATAATTGATTGTCCTTCTTGTGTAATATATTGTATGATAGACATATTTTTCCTATTTTTACTGGTCAACCATTTTTTTAAACTTCTTTTACCCTAATTCAAATTAATATGCTTATTTAAATATTACTTTCTTATTAATTTCCTTACTTTGCCAGAAATCCATGGATAAAATGATGTATGACAGTAATAGCATGAATATTCTATGCCATTAACTTTTTTTCGTTGATGTTCTTTTTACAAATTGACATTTATATTTCTCCTCAATCTCAAGTTTCCATTTCTCAAATTCTAATAGTATAAATTATACGTATAAATATTTTAAAATAATTAATAAGAAAAAAAAAATTGATAGTATTAGAAGTTATGTTATTACTACCTTCGAATATTTTGAAGTTCAATGTGTCATTAATAATATCCACCATATGTCTTATATTTAAGTGTAACTAATAAGTCTTAAACGAACTAAACGTTTTATTGCATTCTTCGAAAGAACAAATAAGTTCATTCTTCAAGGTGTTCATTTGCATTTCATGTCTTAAATGTTTTATGATATCATTTTTTTTTGAAAATGATGTATTACATTTATCACAAATATATATCTTTTTTTCTTTTTCGTGTTAAGTTCTTATGTGTTTATGAAAACCTGATCTTGAATTATATTGTAGTCCACAAGTGGTATACGTAAACATAATTAAACACAGTTATGAAATGCGATATAGTAAAGAAAAAAAGCAGAAAATGTGTGTAGTGACAACAAACTGGAGAAACAATGAAATTATTTTGCCAATTATTACATTTTTGCTGGGTTTATACAGAATATTAGAAAAGTATAAAGCCAAAAGTACTAAAAAAGATAACATTTTAATTACTCTCATATTTCTCTATACCAATTTCAAAGTTCAAAGTACCATATTTTAATTGTAAGGTACAACTATACTCAATTATGGCACCAAAATGAAATTGGTAAATTAAGGTTTACTACAACTGATAGAGCAAATTTGGCAGGTAGCTTATTTTATTTTATATTATAATATACTACCATCTATACTGGTTCCTATTCAAAGGGTATTAAATGATGTCCAAGATTCTGTGGATTGTAATGTTTATAGTATGAGTGTTATGGCCAAATAGTTGGTAAAATGTATTAATAATCCAATATTGTATTTTAAATACTGTGCAAGATGATTTTGCAACAAATTTAAGAAAAAATAGTTTTTTTATTTGGAAATTACTAAATTTATATTTATGGGACCCATGGTTTAAACTTTAAATAGCTAGGTTTACTTTTATAACAAAAATACAAAATATTAAACATAATTATAACATTTGTATTAAATTTTCGCTTGAAATATTCGCAAAGAATTGTGTGTTTTTAAATTTTAAATTACGATATTGTGTTTTTTTTTAATTGTTTATTATTAAATTTATTTAACTATTTTAGTTCAAATTTAGCAATACGCCGCCGTTTATTGGACTCACTTTGGGACCCGACAATTTGAGTCGATTAACCGAATGAGTCAAAAAAAATTTAAAAATGCTTTAATTTAAAACCGTATTTACTTAAAAATATGTATTGAGATTCAATATGTATGTATAAAAATAAAAATCTATACGCAATTAAAAATAAAATAATTAAATAAAATATGTACCTAATTAATAAAATAAATTAATTTTTTGATAAAAATCCATCTAACGTTGATTGGATTTTCTCTTCTTCAGCCAACTTCATAATCATATCTTCATAAGATTTATGTTGCTTAAATACGTCAAAATCGCCTCTTTGCTGAATCCCTCTTATTTGAAGCGCTTCAAGCATTTGTTTAGTTGATGGTGGTTTTTCATTAGGTTCCTCTTCGTCGCTATCACCAGCCACATTCTCTTTTGGCCGTTTTGACTGTTTTTCACCACATATATCTTCCTCGGTAACGATTTCGATAGTTTGGACTTCTTCGTCAATATTTATCCATTCATTATAAAGTTCAGTTGATAGGTCAGTGGGTCTTTCAACAGGAACTTTAACTTCTTTTGGACTGAGAATGAAACCACCTTGTCGAAACAATTACGTATTGTGATTTTACCAACGATATTCCACGCTTCGTAGGCTAAATGCTAACCTTCAAGTACAGTTATTTTTTTGGCGATTTCATGAGCACGTAAGGTACATAATTCTTGTTCCAGGTTAGCATCAATCACACTGATCACATTCTTTCTCATGTTTGTTCTATAATATGCTTTAAAAGTGCGTATAATCCCTTGATCACACGGTTGTATGATTGATGTAGTGTTAGAGGGTAAGAATACGAGGTTAATATATTTAAATTTCACTGTAACCACATGAGCCGTGCAGTTATCGACTAGCAATAAAACGTCATGATGAATTTCATTGACCCACTTGATCAGCCATTCGGTGAAAATTTCTTTTGTCATCCATTCATTACTGTTTGCAGTATAGTCTACCGGTAGATTCTTAACACCCTTGAAACACCGGGGATTTTTACTTTTACCAATCACAAGCAGTTTTCTTTTTTCACCATCCATACTCGCACAACATAGTATGGTTAGACGTTCTTTACTAGTTTTAGTTCCTCTAGTTTTTTCGTTTTTGAACGCGTAAGTGTGCTCAGGTAATGCCCTGAAATAAAGTCCAGTTTCATCCGCATTGAACACACAAGACGGAGGACATTTGGCGATAAGTGATGGCCATTCTGAATGAATCCACAACCGTGCAGCTACATGGTCGGCTTCTCCCTGTTCTCCATGTGGCTTAACGAATGAAATGTTTTCGCGTTTCTTCATCGGTGAAACCAATCTTCTGTTGCCACAAAATCATCTTTGCCTATTTTTTTCGCAAGATCTTCGGCTTTTTGGCGCAAAAGTGGTCCTGTAACTCGGACATCTTTTTGTCTGACATTTGTGAACCATTGCTTTAAAGCTTCTTCAACTTCTTCTTCTTTACCGACCCTTTTTCTTTTACGGTTTGAATTCACATTTTCTAATGATGCGTTTTCGATTTCCTGTCGACTTTTCAGCATCCTACCTAGTAAACTTTGAGACACGTTCAACTTACATGCTGCTTGTCGCTGGCTCGTTTTCGGAAGCTCGTCATATTTTTTAAGAACATCTAATTTTTCTTTCACACTCAAATCACGTCGTTTGTTCATTGTAACACGATAAATAAAAATGTTTACACAGAATTTAAACGCAGACAACACACTGAACACGACGACGTCTATTCATACACTACCTGCCATACTAATTGACATTGACGACTGCTTGGTTTATCGTGAAAAGTAATTTATTTTATCTCCGCGATAAAAGCAAAATATGTACCATTATCGATTTATTTATAACACATTTTTTCAATGTATGTACATATTTTCTTTATTTATCTGATTTTAAAATGACCCTAATAATCGGTGTGTGAGTCGAATAGACGAATTTTTTGTTGTATGTTAGTATATGTGCAAATCGGGACCAGCCGTTTTGAGTCTAATAGACGAATGAGTCAACTAACCGTGAGTCCAATAAGCGGCGGCTACTGTATATAAAATTATTATAATAATAATGATGTTATCGTTTTATCAATGTTATCACATTTTGATAGCCGCAAAAAAAAGGGGTTAAATGTACGCAATATTATATAAGGACACAAAAAATTCTTTCCTGTGAAGATCCATTCGTCTGTCAGACCGCACCATACCACTTATGTTATTATTTTTCTTATCAAAAATTCTAATAAATCTCGTACAATTAATTTTTTTTTTTTGTTATTTATTATAAAATGGATAAAGCTGTTATTGTAACCTACAACACAGTCCGGCCCAGAGAGAACGGGACAGTAGGTCGCACTCGCTCTGATAAACAAAATGTCCGCAATGTAATGTAACTTATTAGTAAATAGAATTAATAAAAATAAGGTACATTTCCGTATCTCGCGCGAGACTTACGGGAGAACCTGCCGACGAGAGCGTAACCGTAAACCGGGGAACAAGGTGACCTCTGAAAACCAGCTAAATGAAAACAATAATAGTTTTCGGCTGATGTCGAACCAATGTTATTATAATAATAATAAAAGTAAAAAAAAAAGGCACAAAAATATATAAACAAGCAGGGCGCCCTCGAGTGCTAATAATAATAATAAATGATATGATAAAGTATGTATATATATATATGTATATAAATATCAAGTGCATAACCTCGTTCTCTCGACAGCCAAGATGATAATGCTGCTCCTTCCACTGGATACGACCGCAAAGCCGACCGGCAGCCACAACACGGTTGGTGACAAAACACGCGACGACGAAAGCCACCGGCGAAATCAACGCACAGCGGTCAACAATACCACCCGCGGCAGACAATACCGTAGCAAACGGCAACACGCACGACGGCGAGATGACACTATGACCGGCAGCAATCGGAATGACAGCAAAACGGTGATTCGACCGGCGGCAATGGGCACAACGGCAAAAAAGATAATATGCACGGCGGCACCACGCACAACGGCAAAAAATATAATACGTCCGGCGGTAATACGCACAGCGGCACTAAAAAAAATGACGGTAAACGTCCTTTAGCGAACTCACACAACGCCGGTAAGAATGCATCGAAGTTCGACGATGCGAACCACACGAGAGGACGCAGACGACACGACGACTGCCTCTTCGTGAGAGTTATGATATACCAGCTCGTCCAGCTTAAAACCGATCGGGGAAGAATGTTCTCGATCGAACTTTATAAATAATCACTGGATAAGATATCGGCTAATAACTTTGCAGATAAGGCGGTATTGTTTGAACATCCTGCCCCCGGTAAAACAACTGGGATTTTTTACTAGCGGCTGGTGTTTTCGTATAGGTAACAACCGGGTGTGATGACGATGGTGGCTGGACGATGACAGCTCATGGGAACATCCTTCCTGGACGGAGTTGGCTTGTAACACGTTAGCAGTACAAATATAAATGAACACAAAATGAAAGTGACGGAGTTACAAATAAAAATAACATAATAATAATAATGAGATGATAATCACAAAGTTTAATGTAACACATAAGGTATGGACCCCGACCGACAGCATAGGAATACTTCTAAATAATATATAAAATAATGACCTGAACATATAATTATCATGCCATATATGCCCTAGAAATGTTAGATAATTAACTCAGAGCATGTCACGCCCCCCCCCCCCCGGTCTACGGCTCCGCCAATCTGCGGGTTTACCATAGATATGAAAAAGAAAAGCAGGGAGAACGGTATAACATGAATATATTAAACGAAAAACAGAATAAAGGGAAGTTAAGGGTCTGTGGGTAATTTTACTATTTTAACTACAAGGCGAGTCAGCGTTCCTGTAGAGGTCTGGAGGCGAACTACCCGTATGACGTTGTCTGTCCCAGAGAAAACCACTATTACCCTACCCATTCGCCATTTCAATGGAGGTGCCTGCGCATCTTTAATGATGACCATGTCATTTACGGCAATGTTAGGGCAGTCGGTGACCCACCGACTGCAAGTCTGAAGCGTTTACAAATATTCTGTGCGCTATTTGCGCCAGAACGCCTGGGAACATTGGTTGATCAACTTCCAACGCTGGACAATGGGACGGGACGTTTCGGGAATCCCAACTTTTGGAACCACGAGTAGCGGGCTTCCAATTAGGAAATGACCCAGTGTCAAACATTCTAGATCCGCGGGGTCGGGTGAGGCTGGAGTCAGCGAACGGGAATTTAATATAGCTTCCATCTGACATTACACGGTCTGGAACTTTTCCACAGTGAATATATGCTCCCCATGATGCGCTTCATCAACCGTTTTGTGGACCGGACGGTCACCCCCCACAAACCACCAAAGTGGGGGGCTCTGGGCGGGTTAAAATGCCAGTTACAATGGGTACTGGCCGTTAGCTGGTCACGACACGCGGGGTCGTTGACTAAATTGCGAAGTTGGTTGGCTGTACCAGTGAAATTAGTTCCACAGTCACTGTAGATGTTCGTGGGTAGTCCGCGATGAGCAACAAATCGACTCAATGCTGCGGTGAAGGCACCGGTGCTCAACTCAGAAACTAACTCTAAATGTACTGCGCGTACCGTAAAGCACACAAAAACAGCGACATAAACCTTATAATAGCGTGCCTTTCGTAAACGATTTTCCTGCATGGACAGAGGGCCTGCGTAGTCGACTCCTACCTTCAAAAAAGGGTGACTCTCGGTGACGCGCGATGCAGGAAGGTCCGCCATGACCGGTTGTGGATTAGCAGCGGTGAGCCTAATACATTTGCTGCACCGGCTGATGACAGTGCGGATCAGGGTGCGAATGGATAGAATCCAGAACGTACGACTGACAAGGACAGAAATAACCTACGGCCCACTATGACCGGTCACGTCATGCCAATGGCGGATTAGTAACAGTGAAAAATGTGACGTCTTCGCTAACAAGATTTGATGCTTCTGGCTCTCCGGGAGATTAGATTTGGATATCCGACCACCAACGTGGATAAGGCCTTTTTCGTCGATGTACGGACGAAGACGCGCTATTGTTTTTACTGAAATAAGGCGATCATGGGACAATTCATTATGCAACGTACGGAAATATTGACATTGTGATGAACGTGCTACAGCGAGGGCTGCTTCGTCGAGTTCAAGACGAGACAGAAAATCTGATGGGTTGGATTTTCCCCGACAGCCAGCGATAAAACGGAGTATATGGGCTGTCACACGAATCATGTGGACATACGATGAGACTTAATTATTTTTAATATGTCTAAACGAAAAAATGAATTTAATAGAATCGGTTAAAATCAAATTACAGGTAGCATATTACCATCAATTAAAGACTGCTTAAGTGTACTTTTTTTTAATCTGAGGTTAGTCAAATAACATTTTTTGTCTACAGTATGTAACTCTATAATTTATAACTTTAAATTTTTTTTTGTAAATATTTTAGTTTTTGAAATATTTAAATAAAACTGAAAAATAACCCCTGTAGGCCATAATTTAGCCCTATTGCGGCACAGAAAAGGGTTGAGTTAGAGGGTCAAAATTTTCACAGAATTATTATTTCATATTACTAAACAATTTTGTAGGGGTTTTTTTTTTGTACATTGTACATATATTGTACGAATATGTCTAGAACAATTTTATCTTCTTTATCTATCACTATTTAACGATGTGCATATCTATATTATAGGTTTATGGTACACATGCGTGTGTCATTTTTCCGGTTTATGCAAGGTTTTTACTTGAATAGGACTTACAAAATCGTTCCGTTTCCGTGTTAAGAACGTTCCGTTTTATTGAGGTTCAACGTCTATATAAAACTATAGGAACGTGCTGGGACCATAGAAAAATTCCGTATTGGATAGTTTTCCGTTTTTTTTCAGGGTCCACTTTAGACAGTTTTCACTGTATAACTGAAATAAGTAGTCCAAAATTAAGTAAAGAAACTAAGCGGTCTGAGAGACCGCACCATACCAGTAATGTAATTTTTTCACTGTACCAGTTACGAGTTAATCGTAGCGAAATCTCCCGAAATGCATAACTTTCGACTGCAAAAAACTACAAGTGTGTAGTAACAGTTGTATTTACTAGCAGCGTAATAATATCAGGGTTATTTAAAATTGTTCATCTTATTTAAAATACCTGTGAAAAGGCTAGTAAATAAACTAAAGGCTAATACATTCTATTTGATCAATATGTACACCAATTAATAGAGGGTATTCTAAAGTTTTAAAATTTTATTATATCATTATTTTAAAATAATTGCCGATAAGTTAGTTTACTCCGATAAGTCAGCAAATATGTCAACTGGGTAGAACAAAGCGTTCTGTGCAAGTATTTGTGTGGTGCGATTTCCAAAGTGTAAATCGGTAATTACAAGATATCGGAATTTGATGACCAAGTAAATCTTTAACAATAACTTCAAAAAATATGAATAAATGATCTAATGTCTATCTAATGACCTAATGATCTAATATTCATACCTGCAAGAAATAATTAAAACATTTTTAAATAAGAAATTAAATTACTTTATTCTTATATATATATATTATTATATTATTCTTATTTACAATAATTTATATTTCTTTAATTCTTACTTTTAAATTTATTAAATTGATTTAAAAATTATATAAAAAAACGTTAAAACGAATTTAATTAAAATTACTGATTTAAAATTTATAATTTAAATTATTAGATTGATAAACTAAAAAAAAAAATTAAAATATTACTATTTATTTCCCTTTTGCAATGTTTTTCTTGTTATTATGATTTTTTTATTGTTTTATTACACATTATTTATTGTTTCGTGTTCATTATTTTTTTTGTTGGTAATTGTAATACTTTTTAATGTTTTGTGGTTATTATATATTGTTGAACATTTTTGTGGCAGGATTTTTATTGTTTTATTATTTTGATTTTATATTTGCAAATTTTTTTTTTTATTATTTTAACTTAATAGCTTATATTGATTGTTTTTTACACTATCAATCGAGTGAAGAATAGTAAATGTGCTTTATAATACGAACACAAAGAAATATAATTAGTATAACTGTTGTTCAATCGTACATCAGTGTTTTGTAATTCGTTTATCATTTTCGTGCGATATGAAGCGGTGCGTTGCGTTGTCGGAGTACCGCTCATTCGACGGCGCGGTGTCTGCCACCTTTGCAACCGGCCCAGTCTCGTGATTGCTGTTATCACCACGTAAAAATGTTTGTTATTTTGTCTTACATTTTTTTTTTTAACACCCCATTACGTTCTTGGTAAATGTAAGAAGTCATGATTTTCAGTGTTACAAAAGGTTCTCAACTTCACGAGCATTTGGTTTATTGCGATGGCGCTGAATCATTCAATCGTTGGAGTGATGTCCGTCGGCTGCAGCCTTCGAGATTATCGCCGTCGGCACCACCATCTCTTTTTCGCGTTTTGTTCGTCGACGGGGGTGCACATCAAGTTTCTGCTTTTATCCCGTCGGCGGTCCTCGTTTAAGACCACGTGTCCCTGTCCAGTGTGAATATTTGGCCCTTTGGTAAGTGGCGTTCAGCGACTTTGCGTTACGTCTTGTTATAAACAAATTCGTTTCAGATTGGTCAGTTGCCTACCGTTGGTGTTTGCAAATAACGTGGTTTCATTGCCGTCTTCGTCCTTAGTTGATGCTGCAACAGAATTTCTGAGTTCATCATGGACAAGTGATGTCGTATGAGCAGGGTCAATTTATACTTTTATAATATTAAATTTCATTAATTATGGACCTCGGCTCTACTCATTGCGACACTTGTCATATGAGTATTGGTCAACCATTTACGTTAATTTAAAGGCCGATGGACCAGTATTTTTATTATAAATGGTTACATTTGGTTAAGCTGCTGTAGGGCCAATAAGTTATTCATATTGTACATCTGTAGCTGTACTGATAAATGGCTACATGACCAGCATATTGTTGTACTCATTTTTAGCTGTGCTATTATAGGACCAACATATATTATATTTTTTATTATAACTTATATTATCAACTTCTCTCGACCATATAATTACATATCAATAACTACAAACTCACCTCAATACTCTCAATGGTTCACTAATTGGAAGATAAAAATTAACAAATCCAAGTCTTCCTTTGTCACTTTCTCACTCAGACCTTTCTACCCAGCCATATTAACAATATCAACATTCTCCACTTAATTGAAATTAAATACCTTGGCCTTAACCTTGACAGACGATTAATCTAGTCTCTTTATCTTAAGAATAAACATAAGCTTAATTCCAGACTCCATTTGATAATGTCATTCTCCTTCATTCTAACCTATCTTTACATATCAAAATAATTCTTTACAAAACTCTTCTACCAATTTAGACGTATGGCATTGTAATCTGGGGCCCTGCCAAGAACTCAATTAAAAAAATTGTATAAGCTTTTCGAAACATCTGTTAACATGTAATCACTGGTGCACCCTGGTTTGTCTCAAATGAGTCTTAAAATTCTGATCTTAAATTACCATCTATCAACAAAACTGCTGCTATCTACTACAAATTCTTTCCTTCAAACTGCAAGATAATCCCAACCAATTAATCAATGAATTAGCTTCACTTACACTTCCTGGTAACCTAACTAGACGCCTCAAAAGGAACTGGTGTTGGTACTTGATAACTCAAAGTTAAAGTACTTAATATTTATGGGTATCACAAATGTGTGATTTCCTCCTCATGTGTATAAAACGTGTCAAATGTCTGTAAATTATTTATATTATTATACAAAATGTATAGATTGTAATTTTTCAATAATAAAAATGTACCGAAAAATGCCCAATAGGAGAAAATTAAACCTAGGTCGTTAGAAAAATATATTCAAACAAATTCCTTTTTCCAGGATATAGCATTCACAAGAGATTGATCAAAATATATTTACATCAATCACAACCATAATGAAAATTATAGTAATAGCAGCATTGACAATAATAACAATAATTCAAACGTATTAAATGTCCTACAAAATTAGCTATTATAGGATCAATATGGCAAAGATAAGTCAGAAGATTGCAGTCAAGACCAAAGAATTCAAAATATATTTCCTGTATTATATGTATTGTTATCTTTATGTATGGACCACTGAATAGTGCTTTTGCAAGAAAATAAAATTATACATTCTGACCGAATGAAACATGTTGCAGATACATGTATCTTAAATACAGTTAATTACAAAACGTTCACGTAACTATGTGGAATGTTAAAATACAAAATTAGTTTTTTTGATTGAAAAAAATAATTATAAATATTCCTTCTAAAATATATAATTATTACCTTTAAAATTTAATAGCCTTGTATGAGTACATATATTCATTTCTACGATAATCTTTGGTGTATTCTAATAAATTGACATTTCTACTTATTAAAGTTTGTTTATATACTAGCTCTAATGTAAGAATATTTTGATTTCAATTTCATAATTTGCGTTATATGGGTCATAAATTAGTCATAAATTAATAGGAGACAACGTGCACAACTTCACCTTCCCTCAGAAGTTTTTTTTATTCAATCTTCCATTGTGTGGAGGACATATATAAAAAAAAAAATATGTTTTTTAAAACAATGAAAAATAAAAGATAATTTTCCAAATTGTATATAAGTATATTAACCAAAATATAAAATAATATATATTTACATATATAAGTATCAATATAACTGAATATTATTGTTCAGAATTAAATAACATAAATGTGATAAAGAAATTAAGTTATAACAGAGCTACCTACATTATTCATACTTTTAATATAAGGCGTAAAAATAGTTAAAAAAAAATAGTTTTGAAAATAAATAAATAAAATAATTACATAATATTTATCAATGTATAAAAATAACATTTATAAATACTACAAAATTAGTTAACAAAACTAGAATAAGAAATTTGAGGAAAAAAATTGTATCCAAAAATTAAATACTAAATAAAAAATGACATAATAACATTACTATCAAGTATAAACTAAGCAGGTAATACAGTGGCGCCGATGTATCAACAATTTTATGTTGCCAACTAGACCCAATTAATTTAACCAGCTATGTGCACATTTTTTCTTAATTCATCTTATAATATTTGTAGCAGATAATTTTTACTTAATAGTATTAATTTGATGACTGATATTTGTATTGACTAAAGCTGGGAAAAATTAAAGTGGATGGCAGGGGAGTACGGGGTTACAAAATGATACTACTAAACAATTTTATCGAGTATATTAAACATTAAATAATTTGCATTACAAATTTAAAAACACGTAATTAAAATATATTAAAAAAAACTTAAATTTTATTCTCTTAACAGATTGTATTTCTTTTCTTTTCATAAAAAAAATGTTCTTTGATAGGTAGTTTTTTAATATAGAGTATACAATACTTACTTTAAAAATGTAAATAGTAAATACAGTATAATAAAAGTTTAATAACATTGTTTAAAAATCAATTTTACTATTACTAATATTAATATAGAAGTGCTTTTGATAATTCCGTACTTTTATTGGCAAAATTATTGATAACGTTTTCTACATTTGGTACGCAATCCTGTTCACATGTAATTTTTAAAAAGCTTTCCAAATGTTCTTCTTTCGTTGTGATTTTTAATTTTGTTTTTTACAAGCTTTAACTTAGAAAAAGATCTTTCTACGGAACAACTTGAAACTAGTAGTGTTACAGCAATATGAAGTAAAGTGTGTAAGTTTAGAAAAACATTTTTTAACAGAGATCCACAAAATAGTTTAAATAATTTTCCCATACTTCCTACATTTTCTACATTTCTGGTCACAAATACAGGTTGATTTTCAATTTTCTCTTGTTCTACATTATGAAAACAATCATCATGATCACTGGCATTGCCTTCAGACTCATTATGCAAATATTCAGATAGTAATATGGATTTTTCTAGTTCTAAGAAATTAGAACAAAACTGTTGATATTCGTTCACTAAATCATCATATTTTAAAAATGTTGAATACAGTTCACAAATAATTTTAAATGCATCTTTTGGTAAAGAATTTGGAGAATTTTTAATTTCCGTAATTCTTTTTTTAGAGAGAAGAGAAAGGTCTTTTAATAACTCTGCTTCATTATTTCCAAACCTGTCATTTAAATAATTTTGTATTATATCTAAGGCACTATAATAGCATTCAACTTTGAATTTTGTAATGGGTTCTGTAATTGGTTCATTCCTTTGAAGTTCACCAGAAAATTTTGGAACACGTCTACATCTAGGTGTAGGAAGTGCCACAAATTCCATATCAATCGTTTCAGAAAATTGTTCAGCTGATAATACTACTTCAGAAAAAAAATCTGTATCTCTACAATTTATAATACAAATTTTGGATTTGGCATTTTCAATTAAAACCACAGCTGCCATCAAATCAAGATCTTTTGTTTGTAAAAGTTAACTGGTTCAAGAATTCGAAATATTTTTTGAAAAGAAAATGCTGTTAATAAAAATCGATAAGATGTAAAATAATCTACGAGTCCACTAACTGTAGCACCAGTCTTAGCATCACCTGGTCCTTCATATTTTTGAATATATTTTAATGTATCAATTATTATATTAAAATTATTAGTTTTTAAAATTGTGTCTAATGATGTTGAATAAGAAGACCACATAGAAGTAGATACATGTTTTAAAGCCATAATTGATGCTTTTTTGAATTATTGTAATGTTTTTCTTGAAATTGTCTATAAAGAGCAACTCTTTTTTAGCACACCATATAAACAAATATAATGTCTCCAGGTTCTCAAATAAATTTACAGAATCTACGCGCGATGAAACTAATTATTTTACAACGAGATTTAACCAGTAAGCGTGACACCACACAAATGTTGCACGTTTATTTTTTGCTTTAACTAAAACTTGCAGACCGTTGTACATACAACGCATATTTGACGTACCATCATATGGTTATCCAACTAAATCATTGATCCAATTAATGTTATGGTTTTTCATTACATTTATAAACAAACTGAAGAGATCACTTCCACAAGTATTAGGAAATTCTCGTATAGCTAATAACCATTCAAAAACAGAACCAGTAACAAACATATCGGATAATAAATGATACTTGTTCTTTTCGTGACGTATCAAATGTAGAAACAATTGCAATACTAAAAAATTTTGATTGTTTTACATTTGTCTGACTTTGTAATGTAATATATTGAGCAATGGAGTCAATTAACTGGTTTTGTCTTTCCTAGCTAATAAATGACAATTCCTTTTTTCCTTTAGATTGTAATTTTGTAACATGTTCAGCAAGAGAACCAGAAAGATTTTTCATTAATAGAACCAAATCTATAAAATTTCCTTTTGATAACGCATTAGATCATTTTTCATTATGATCCCGAAATCCTAAATTATATTGAGCTAGAAAAATAACAATTGTAATGAGTTTAGAAACTATTTGTCTGTTAATAGATATTTGATATTTATGTTTATGTTCCATACTAGGCAACAACGGTAAACATTTTATTCTTGTTTTAACTTTAATTGTAGAAGTTATATGATAAGTTGAAACTTCATGGTTTATAATACGAGCAAGACCATTAATCCAAGTTGAAAATCCATCTTTTGCCATTCCGTGTATGTTAATGCTAAACAATAAACAGTGAATACAAAATATTTTGTCTGTACTCAAAGAGTAGGATAACCAATCATGAATAACTTTACTACTATCAGGAATAGTTCTGTAATACCACAAGTAATTGAAGTGACGTCCATATTTATCTTTAGGATACATTTTTCCAGGAATATCTTCAGGTAAAGGTTGGCATGGGTCTAACTCTAAAATATAATTCTTTTGTTCAGGAGTAATGAAGCTCATTTTAACAAATTGGATAGGATAATTTTTTAATTCTACATCAATAGCACATTGATTAAAGTCAGCAGTTGAAGTAGACGGTTGAACATTTGATTTTTCACTATATGTTGATAATGCATCATTTTCTAAAAATGAATAATACACATGTTTAAAACGAAGAATATATGATATTGTAGTATTAGGGAAAACGAAAGAAGAAATTGTTCAAACAACCGAGAAACTAGTTAAGGCAAGTAAGTCTATGGGCCTATGTATAAATGAAAATAAAACTAAGTATATGATGATGTCAAGAAATAATCAGAATACAAACAATCTTTTAATTAATAACATGAAATTCGAAGCAGTAGATAATTTTAAATACCTTGGAATAAATGTCAATAATAATAATAATATGCACCAGGAAGTGAATGAAAGAATTATGTGTGGAAATAGGTGTTATTACACTATAGTCAAAATACTAAAATCAAAATTACTTTCAAGGACATCAAAAATTCTTCTATATCATAGCTACCTGCGCCCAATTGTAACTTATGCTTGCGAGACATGGTTCATAACAAAAAGCAATGAAAGGAAATTAATAATATTTGAGAAAAAAGTACTCCGGAATATCTATGGATCACGCTTCAACCAAGAAACCAATACCTACGAAAGAAGAACAAACGATGAATTACAGAAATTGTACAAAAGACCAAATATCTTAACGTTTATTAGAAACAAATGACTAGAGTGGTTTGGACACACTTGGAGAGCAGATGGACAACTAATAAAAAAAGTACTTGTTGAAAAAATTAACAAAACAAGGCCCCTAGGAAGACCAAGAACCCGGTGGATAGATGTGATATCCAGAGACTTGAAAGAGATAGTCCAAAATGTAACTTTTGAGCTGACGTACAACAGGGATAGATGGCGAGACCTCTTGAAGGCAGCAATGGTCCTCAACGGACCGGTAAGCTGAGAAGAAGAAGAAGAAGAAGAAAACGAAGAAATTAATACTATAAAAAAGCACTCAAGCATACAAATCTATTTCAATATGCACTACTGCACATTTAACTATCAACCTTTGAGTAAATAAAGTATAAACACAAACATTGAAGTTGTACTCTACTTTATAGTAGAATTATCTGTTTGAATAAAATCTATTGTGCTTGTATTATTGTTCTTATGTTTATATAAATTCATATTTATTTGATCTATAATTTAAAAAAAAAAATTAATACAATATATATAACTGCTAAAGTGTGATTTATAAAATTGGTTGTACATTTTCAATATTTTCCTAAGGTTTTTGGTTGGGTCAATATTAAATTATAGCGTAAAATATTGCTTTAAATGTATTAAGTTATAAAAATCTATGTAATTTAAACAATTTTATAAAGTACCCGTTAAACCATCTTCATAATATTCAATGTAATTTATGAAAAATAAAAATATTAATTTTAAAATTTGTTAAATAATAAAAAAAAACATACTAAAACAAAAAATTATATGAAGTACTTGATAAACCAACATTACTAGTTTCATCATATTCATTTGATTTGTCTTAATTTTGTTCTGTAACATAATAGAAAATAAAATAGAAATAATCAATTATTAGTAATTACTAGTCAAAACTAAATAAGAATTTTGTATACCAAGATTTTCATTAACTGGCTTATGTAAATTTTCAGTCATATAAAAAAAAAAAAAAAAAAAAAAAAAAATGAAATGTATAACTGAAATAATATAATAGCATAGGTATAATAAGAAAATATAATGTTGTAAAAATTTAAATGATCAATAATCAATGAATATTGCATTTATATCAATATTTATCTCAACTCTAATTAAAAAAAAAAAAAAAATACAAATATATTGTTTCATTAATTTTAAGCATTGTATGTACTAAAACAAATAAAATAATTATTTTTTATATATTTATAATGAACATTTATATTGACTAAGGTTTTATTTTTTCAATGAAATATAACATTTCTTAAAATTTTAATAATTATAATTATGCAAGTAGTATATTTTTTAAATATAATATTAAATCTATACTTACTTCTTAGAGATTAAAAATGCATGTTCAAAGCTTTACTAATAGGTCTATTTAACTACATAAATTCATGTGACTAATATTATTAAATTATAAAATGTTGAAAGTATTTAAAAAATAACAGTTAACACGTATTATTTAATAACTGATTGACATCAGTTCTCATTCATCTGAATTTGATTAAAATATAAATGCATTAATGCAACAAAAAAAATGTCACTAAAAAGTGTTTTAAAAATTAGAAACAATATAGTTGTGTTTCCTACCCTGTAAAAATACAAAACATTTAGGTACCTACTTGATTGTTATTTATTACCTATTATTATAATTTATATTTTATAAATTACATTAATAGTTAAATAATAAATATTATATATTACCCAGATTTGTTGTGGAGAATACTTTTGTCGTCGAAAAGAATTTTTTTATGTTGCTTGACGTTGTACTGGTAGATTTTACATATAGATTCTACATGCATTCTGGTGTCTGAGCCAATTGGTCTGGTTTAAATTACCTTTACTCTTACCACAAACAGGGCCGGATTTAAGCGTAGGCTATAAAGGCTGTAGCCTATGGGCTCGCACCACAACAGGGTCCACACCAGACCATCAACTTAAAAAAAAAAAAAAAGCTCTGTCTAAATATTTTTCATTCTTTTTCAGTTTTCTAAAATTGGTGTTGTGTAATAAAATATACTATATAGTGTGTAGACTAGTGTGTACATATATAATGGGAATTTCCCATACACGACGTCGAGCGTCGGTACGAGATGCGAACACTATTTTCGTAATGCAGTCGTTGGTCAAGTTATCAATAGACTCTGATTATCGCTCGATAACGTTTAGTTTTTTTTTTTTGCTGTTATTATTAATTCGTTCCTCGACCGAAATGTTTCTTGTTTCATCATTGACATTAACGACTCGTACAGTCGTTGCCAGATAAATTGAGACGGCGGCGGCGGCGCGATAACGGAAAACCAGTGGTCCTCCGTATTTCAATATTATTACTGAAAATATATCAATAAACCAACTATTGTTACAAAAAATATTTTACGATATTAATTTCAAATCATATATTCTGATAATAATTTTTTATTTAAGAACAAAAAGTAGAAATTGTAAAATAATATAATTAATATAATAATAACACATAATATTAATAATATGATGAAATAATAACAACATCTATATGCATTATTATAAACAAATATTGTTGATACGACTGAAGTGCTTGCGCGGTCAAAACACACCGGGTTAGGTTAGTTGTTTTTAGCAGTGTAGGGCAACCAGAACGGGAGAGAGAACAGAAAATTCTGCAGACAATTTTTTGCACTAAGCCGGGTTCGAACTGGTAACTGCGCGCGTCGTAGCTAACTGTAAGACCTTTGCACCACATTATCAGCGACTAGTTTGGGCTACACTTCATGAAAAGCGCCGCCGCCGCCGTCTCAATTTATCTGGCAACGACTGTACGTAAACACGTCTATGGACAAAATTATTATATTATTATCATTTATGAAAATATGGTTATTTGCAACTTTGATCGCTGGACGCTGTTTATAAAGAATTGTCTACATTGTTTGCCGTCTGCCTGCAGGTAATTTTTATTAATTTATTATTTTTAAGATCAATTTTTTTATTTGAACAAAATAATAGGTATTTTTTACATACAATATTAAAAATTTGAAAATGTTATAAAATTATATTAATAAATAAGAATATATCAGTTACTGATATTAAAATATTCTTAATTTTGGAATATTTTTAACCGAGTTATGTATCTTTATTTTATTTACATTTTTTATACATACGAATAGTTGAGAAAAGATAGTTGAATTTTATTATTATTTTTTTTTTTTTGTTATTTTATAGTATATTTTTCTAATTGTCACAAAATCACCATTAAAAAATATGAATTATTATTTAAATAATTTTCGTTCAACATAAATATGGCTCCGTCGATCCAATTATATTCTTTCGTAGAGAACCATTTAAAAATTATTGTTTATTTTTTTTTACTAAAAATTTACTGGCTTTGACACTTTTAATAGTTAATTACTCGATGTACCATCTAAATTCATAAATAGTTAAACTTTTATGGTATTATGGATCGCCATAAAATACAATTGAATCGTCACAAAAAAAAAAACAAGAATATAAGAGCGGAAGTTATAAATGAAAAATAGCAAAAGAAAAAAAACAAGAGGAACAAAGAAGTTATTGCTAAATCACGTCTTATGATTGATTATATGCAGTTAAATGTAAGTCCTGACATAAATGATGAAACTTGTTCACTTGCCAGCTCGAGTCATCCTCAGAACTTTGAAGACGGAGAAAAGGTAAGTTCAAAATATAAATTCAAGCCCGGATTAAAGATAGATTGGGCCTCCAGGACACCATAAATTTAGAAGGCCCCTTTTCAACTTAGATTTCAAAAAAATTATATTACTAAATTTTAAAGACTGCCTATATTATCGTATTATTTTGTACTATATAAAAAATATATAATAAGACTATATAAATTAATAATTATGTAATAATTTATTACAAGCATATTATATATTTATGTATATATTATATTTATAAAGAAAATACTGTATTGGTTACTAAAGAATTATAAATTAAATCAATTAAATATTAATTTATAACTAATACGTTAAAACACAATGAAAATCGTACTAAAAAAGTGAGTAATTATAGTACCACAAACTTCATTCCGTCTGTAAATACCCGTTATATTTTGGAGATAAAAATAGGCATCGGGACCGTGCCCCTTCCTCTTAATCCGAGCTTGCAAATAATTAATTACCAATAAATGTAAAATATTAAAAATGAATAATTTTCATGTATTTTCAGGTTTCAGAAATTGTAGAGGAGGTTCTTGAAGTTTCATCAACTCAAGCGCTTTCTGTTGGACTTGTTCTAAATGAAAATATTTGCTCGGAAAATGACATTGGATTATGGCCAGAGAATATGACATCAAGTAATATTGACTATTGCCTAAAAATAGGCGCCTCAGCTTTTCAAAACTGCGACCAAGATATAATTAATAATAAATCATTTAAGCAAAGCGCCCGACATTCTGAAAAAATTTTTAAAGGAAATGCCAAACAAATTTTTTTGAATGAAAAACAAGAAACGGTGAGATTATAAAGTGTCCATGGCTCTGCCTTTCTCCGAATAATGGACACGTATACTATTTTGTATGTAAACTTTTTTCCCAAACACGTTCTCAGTTTACTCATGGTGGTTATTGCGATTGGAAAAATGCTGTAACACGTCTGGTAGAACACGAAATTTTTAAAAACTACCTGAATTCTGTTATTAATTTAGCTGCACGGTCTAAAGAAGTGGGACGTATTGATTAAAAACTAACAAAACAAGCAGAAGATGAAGCAAAATCCTGGGGAGAAGTTCTCAGGAGATCGATAAGTGTGGTAGTTTTTATTAGTGAAAGAGGCTTAGCATTTAGATGTGAAAACGAAACTTTTAGGTCTCCAAAAAATGGAAACTACCTAGGAATATTGGAGCTTAATGCAAAGTATGACCATTTTTTAAATGACTACATAAAAAAAAAAAATGGAAACCAAGGAAGTGGCCACACAAATTAATTATCATCAAAGATTTGTGAGGAGATAGTGCAACTAATCAGCAAAGAAGTTTTCAATGAAATTATTTCTCTAATCAAATACTCAAAGTACTATTCCATATCATTGGACTCAACTCCAGACGAAGGTCACGTTGATCAACTTACTTTGATTTTCAGGTATTTAGAAGAAAACATTCCTGTTGAAAGATTTGTGGCATTCATGCCTAACCAAGGCCACAAAGCAAAGGATATGTTTAAAGGTTTAGACACATTTTTGAAAGAAAATAACTTGGACATAAAGAACTGTTGTGCTCAGTCATACGACAATGCTTCTTCAATGAGTGAAAAGTATAATGGTCTTCAAGCGTTAGTACTGGCAGAAAATAACTTAGCATTATAGGTACCTTGCGCAGGGCACTCACTCAATCTCGTAGTGCAAGCTGCTGCTGAGTGCTGTGAGCTTTTTCGACTTTTTAGAAAAAATTTATGTATATTTCACTGTCTCGACTAACAGGTATAAAGTTTTTACAAATTGTTTAAAAAGAGCAGAAACTGAAAACCCCATTCTTGTACCAAAAAGGACAAAAACAATACGTTGGTCATGTAGAGCAGATACTAAAAAAGCCCTTTTATGTGGATATAAAAAAATAAAAAATGCACTTTTAGAAATTTCTGAGAATAAAGAAGAATTAGGAAAATCGCGTATTGTTGCTTTAAGTTTATATAACAAAATGTCAAAGATACAAACAGGCCTCTACGCAGTATTTTGGAATGATATCTTGGGACAAGTAAACAAAATTAGTGAAATTTTACAGAATCCTAGATTAGATGTGAACACAGCTGTTTTAGCACTGAAATCGCTAAGAAGCTTTATAGGAACAACACGAGATAGCTTTGAAGAATATTTTGTGAAAGTTGCAGAGTTGGATGATTTTGTTGAGTACGACAGTGAAACACAGCGTAAGCGTAAAATAAATGTGCGTTTGTCCCCTCTTGACAGTGTCCAAATACCAGAAATTGAAATGAGCTCTTCAAACAAATTTCGAATTCAGAGTTTTCTCCCTGTAATAGATCAACTTGAATCTTCATTGCAACAAAGGCTTGAGGCATATGAACTAGTTGATAACCGTTTTGGGTTTATTTATAAGTTAGATATACTTGATGATAAAAAGATAATTATAACAGCTCAAAATTTAGTAAAATTATATGATAATGACTTGGACGATTAATTAGGAAATGAACTGATTCAATTCAAGGCTTTTTACCAAGAGTTTCTAAAAGATGATGATGGAAAAAATGATAAAGTTATATTTCGGGAAAGATGGATGTAGCAGCTTCTAATTGAAAAAAATGTAAAAGATTATTTTCCTAATATTGAGGTAGCTTTAAGAATGTACCTGTCACTTATGGTCACCAACAGAAGCGGAGAAAGATCTTTTTCAAAATTAAAGTTGATCAAAAACCGTCTCCGAACATCCTTGGCAGAAGAAAGGTTCAACACGTTAGCTCTACTTAGCATTGAGAGTGACATTTTAAGACAAATAAATTATGAAGATATTATAACATAAGTGATTTCATTAATACAAAGTTAAGACGTAAACTGATTAAAGTTTAAACCTATAAATTAAATTTTTATTATTTATTAAGCTGTATTATAATTATTATGTTGTGAATTTAATTACTAGTTACTACTGTTGTAATATTAATAAAGAGCGTTGAATACCTTTTTAACTACTATGTGGTAATTGAATTCACACTTTTTTTTTTTCATTTATTATTTATAATTGTTTCAACAAAATGTTTGTTTTTACAATTTTTTTTTTATACATTTATATTATTCATACATTTCCTATATAGAGTAATACAGTTTGTACTTATTTTAAATTTTTAATAAACTGAATTTAGATTATGAGTTGCTTAGTTAGGTCATTGTTCTGATGATACCGATGATGAAGTGATGAAGATGATTCTGGAGGTAGCAAGATGTCTTGAGGTAGCCGTGGCTTAAGTCTGCGGTTTTTAGTTATCTGCCCAATTTTGAAGTGAAGGGCGCCTTCTATTGTTTTTAGTTTCATGTGAAATTTTTTAAATTGCTCAGTTATCGATGTGTTTATGTAAGGTATACCAGTGTCATTATGGATTTGTGTGTTTCGCATGAACCATGGGGCTTTAAGAGCTATTCTAAAGAATTTATTTTGTATCGTTTGTAATTTTTTGATTTTTGTTTGGGATGCGGCTGCCCATATTGGGCATGCATATGTAATTAGTGGTCTTATAATTGATGTATATATTAGAAGAGAGCATTTAATTTGAAGTGTTGAGTTGTAATTTATTAGGGGGTATAAGATTTTTATTCGTGTATAGGCTTGGTTTAATTTTTTATTTATATGCATTTTCCATGTTAATTTCTCATCAAGGTATACTCCGAGATATTTAATTGATTGATCTTTATTATTCCATAGTATAGGCTGATTATTAATTTTTAATTGGGTTGGATTTGTATATCTTTTTAGGCTAAATATTTTAGCTTTGCTCTTAGTTGGGTTAAGAGCGAGTTTCCATCTTGTAAACCAGTCTGAGATTTGATCTAAAGAAATTTGTAGATCTGTTATTGAATTTTCAAGATTTTTATGTTGTGTTAAGATAACAGCATCATCTGCGTACATTGCTAATTGGCATTTTTGTGGAACTGGGATGTCATAGCAAAAAATATTAAACAAGGTGGGCCCAAGGACCGATCCCTGTTGGACTCCTGCTTTTATTGGATGTTCTACAGAGGTATCAGTATCTATCATTACTTTAAACGTGCGATTTGTGATAAAAGAGGCTATTATATTTTATAGATAGGTAGGCATTTTTAGTTTTGTTAATTTGGACATAAGACCTTGGTGCCAGACCTTGTCGAAGGCCTGTGCGACGTCAAGAAAGGCAGTGGTTGTGTATTTTTTATTCTCAAAACCATCTACAATTATTTCTGAGATTCGCTGAAGTTGATGGCATGAATTTACACTTTCATATACTATATTTTAAATGTTATTATTTTCGGTCAAAAAACCAGAAGTTAAAAAGTTGTACTACCCTAGATTTTGGGTAAAAAATTATTTGAAAATGTTTTAAAGATGGCTTAGTTTATCTATGTGTGTGTATGTCCTTTCTATTTTCTAAAAACTTTCTGGTAGGGCCCACACTATAATTGAGCTTAGGGCCTACAAATTCTAAATCCGGCCCTGACCACAAATACATAATTTATCATTATTCATAATGAATAAATCGATAAATATATTATAATAACTATCAAATATAAATTTTGATTTACAAGAAGTTATAATTTAATAACCAATAGATATAAATCAGTCAACTAAACACGTACAAATTATTTGACGGATGAATTAAAAATAGCTCTTTGATACCATGCACATTTCTGATATAACCATAAACAACAAATAGTATTGATATATTATTAGGTAAGTTCGTAGAGACAGAATTCTATATGCATATAGATATAAGATATATTTATTTATAGATGTTATCTAATGTATTTGTCAAGAAAAATTCCGTCTTGGCCATATTTTGTGTATTATGTAGAAATAGTAAATAAACAAAATAATGTTAAATAACTACTTTACTGCTTTAATAATTGGTGTCATTATTCATCACTGAATGTCTGAACATAAATGTACATCATAATCAGATATGTACAAAATATATAATACATTTTTTGTGTAACATTTGAAACATATATTCTAATCCGTCTACCCAACGAACCTACCCAAACACCCGCCTAAATATATTGTGTTGTGGTCGCAACAGATAGATATAGGGATCGGCACCACTTGGTATATAATATACATAAAAAAAAACCGTTTATCTGTTTAATTTTTGGGATTAAACGCTGCATTTTTTAAGGCTGTATGACATAAGCACCAATCTAATATTGTTACTTGTTATACCCAACAAAACATTAGCGCCAAAGGTGCAAAAGTGACATAGCATTTGCGCTAAAATTAATATTTTATATTAGTAGGTAGTTATTTAAAAATTTAAAAAAATGTCGATAGTAAATTATAATACACATGCACATCAATATAAAGTTAATAAATCCGTTGCTATTTTATAAAAAAAATACACACAACACCTTTGTTCGTAACAGTTTTTATAAAATCCATTTTAGTGAATGACGCTTACACGAATGCTTACGAAATAGGTACTAACAATATGTTATAACACAAAACTGCTCACACACTGTCTATATGACAATCTATCGTAATCATATAGTACATTTGTCAATTAAGATTAAGCGTTTGGAGTTTTTTAACGATACGGTTCTAAATTTAATATCTGTTATTTAATTTACAGATATCTTGGATTTTGGCGCTTTCGTACGATACAATTTTGGCGCTTTTGTACGATATGACTAATTTTTCTTATCTCATTTTGGCGCTTATGAACGATACGACTTTTTTTTTCTTATCTCATTTTGGCGCTTATGTCTTCCACCGGTTTTTAAAACACTTAATGTGTAATTGTGTATACAAAAGAAAATACCATCTTTAGTCAGTTCCAATGAAAAAATAGTAATACACCGTCCGTGAACAAAAGTGTGTAGTCAAGATATATTATGTGCTGGTTAAAAAGAGAATAGAAACAATTATTTGTGTAGTTACAATTTACGTTTCTATGTGAAATACAACATTTTTTTTAAACTTAAATATAGACGGAATTTAAAAGTCATTCGTTTGTTTTAACTTTTCCTTTTCGTCCATATTTTACAACATTTCTCTATAATAACAAAATGTCTATAACTTCTTATGTATTTTTTCATGTTTGTGAAACATTTTTCTAGTGAACTATATATAATATGCCGTTGGGCTAATGAACAAGCAATTTATTCTCACTTTGTTTATGAAGTAAGATGTCACATCTCCTGGACACAACAGATTGCTTTTGATATCTCTCAACAATCTATAGACAGACAAAATCAAGATAGTAATTTTTATAAATTTTAAATTTTCGTATGTTAAAATTTATTTATAATTTTAAATTGTTTACCATCGATATTAATCTATCAAACTAATTATTATATAAATGTATTTATAATTTAATAATTTAACTACGAATTTAATATGCAATCCATATTATTGGTAATAGTATTAATATTATTCTTCTATAATATAAAAATGAATCGCAAAATGTGTTGGTAAGCGCATAACTCAACAACGCCTGGACCAATTTGGCCAAATCTTTTTTTTCAAATGTTCGTTGAAGTTCAAGGATGGTTTTTACGGCGAGAAAAATTAGAATTATTGCTGGAAAACCCCTAAAAATAGCCCTTTTCTTTTTCTAATACAAATGACGTGGCCCAACATCATTCCAACAGTTACGAACTGTTGATGGTGAATTGTGTGGATCCTACAGAGAAGCCTGTCAACGTTTGCAATTGCTTGAAAATGACGCTCATTGGGATCAAACTCTCAATGATGCTGTAATATCATCACACGCTCATCAAATACGAACATTGTTTTCTATAATTATATCTACATGCTTCCCATCAAACCCAATTGATTTGTGGATCAAGTACAAAGATTATATGTGTGATGATATTTTGTATCAAATACAGAATAGAATGGGAAATCCAAATATACAAATCAGTGAAGAAATTTACAATGAAGCATTGATTTCAATTGAGGACATGTGCTTGATAATATCAAACAAACTATTAATTCAATTAGGCCTGACCGCGCCCAATCGTCCAATGCATGACGCTTTTAACCAAGAGTTGCATCGAGAAAGACTGTATGATCTCAACGCTTTGAAAGAATTAATTCAAACAAATCTTCCACTGTTAAATGAACAACAGAAGTATGTATTTGAAACTCTTATGAAAGTAACAAATGAGGGATTTACTTCTTAGATGCACCTGGTGGTACAGGAAAAACTTTTTTGATTTCATTAATATTAGCAATAATTCGCTCACAAAATAAAATTGCACTTGCACTCGCTTCGTCGGGAATCGCAGCAACTTTGCTTGAAGGTGGTCGAACAGCCCATTCAGCACTAAAATTGCCATTAAATATGCAAAGCAATGAAACTCCAACCTGCAACGTTTCGAAGAACTCTGCAATGGCAAAGGTTTTGCAGCAATGTAAATTTATTGTTTGGGATGAATGCACGATGGCACATAAAAAATCTTTGGAGGCTTTGGACAGAACCTTAAAAGATCTACGGAGCAATAATAACCGATTTGGTGGTGCAATGATTTTATTAGCAGGAGATTTTCGTCAAACATTGCCGGTGATTCCACGATCAACGCCAGCTGATGAACTCAATGCATGTCTAAAGTCCTCCAGTTTGTGGAAACATGTCAAAGTACTTCATTTAAGCAAGAATATGCGTGTCGAGTTGCAAAATGACCAATCTGGAAACATATTCTCTAAACAACTCATTGACATTGGTAATGGCAAATTTCCTATAGACATGTTGACTGGCTGCATTAACTTTCCTCAAAGTTTTTGTCAGTTAACTCGATCAAAAGATGAACTTATTCAGAAGGTGTTTCCAGATGTTTCTCAAAATTACAGAAACCATGATTGGTTGAGCGAACGAGCTATACTGGCTGCAAAAAACATAGATGTAAATGAATTAAATTTCAAAATTCAAGAACAAATTACAGGCGAATTGAGGATATATAAATCAGTTGATTCGGCTACTAATCAAGATGATGTAGTCAACTATCCACCGGAATTTTTAAACTCGCTGGATTTGCCAGGATTGCCACCTCACAATCTTCAATTAAAGGTTGGATCAGTGGTTATAATGTTGCGAAATATCAACCAACCGCGTCTTTGCAACGGTACACGGTTAGCGATAAAAAAATTACTAAACAATGTGATAGAAGTAACTATACTCAAAGGAAAGTATAAAGGAGAAGATGTTCTCATACCGCGCATCCCAATGATTCCGACTGATGTGCCATTTGAGTTTAAACGACTACAGTTTCCAGTGCGTCTTGCTTTTGCTATGACTATAAACAAGTCCCAGGGGCAATCATTAAGTGTTTGTGGTATTAATCTAGAAAACCCATGTTTCTCACATGGTCAATTGTATGTTGCCTGTTCCCGTGTTGGAAAACCATCAGATTTGTTTATCTATGCGCCAGGTAATCAAACAAAAAACATCGTATACCACAAAGCACTACAATGATAATAATAATAATTATGATTTACATGATTAACAATAAAGTGATTACTTACTTTTAAATCCTTATATATGTTTTATTTAATTATTTTTTATTCACAACGCCCTATCACCAGGGTGACGGTTCTGTTCAAGAGAATTTTTTAAAATACGTAGGCACAAAAAACTGCCACATTACAAATCTTTTTGACAGGACGAAGTCTGACGGGTCAGCTAGTTATTAAAATAGATTTTAATGTTTTTTCAACAGTAGAAGTATAATTAAAATGTAATTACCGTTCCTTAAACGACGGGTATTTATTGTTCACTTTATTCCTCAAATCATTGGTCCAATTATCCTTTTTGAACTGTTCTATGTCAATAAACAGCAAAATATCGCTCTTTGCTTTCGTTTTCAATAATTCTTTTAGTGTTATACACGCTTTTAATTGTGACGGTGGTATGCGATTGAATGTCTTTCAAAACTTTTATAATAAAATAATAGCTGCAAAATATTTGGTAATTTCTAACACTTTGGACGGAACGCAAACGGTTATACTAATTCGGAATCCTGCAAAAAACACTTGCAATCCCCAACTTGGATAATTTCAACTCTTTCATTTTTTGAAGTAAAGATTTAAAGGCTACTGATAATGACTGCATTGTTGATTTCCCACCACTATATTTCTTAGTCACCAAGTAAAATGTCGTTTCATTACGGTTGTTGACTACAATACCGACATTGCCTACGGTTAAATTTTGATCAAACAGTTGACCAATACCACCGAAATAACGTCTAGAAAACAATTAAAACCGTTATTGTTTTGATCAATATAATATTTTCAAGACATTTGTACTTAAATTCCATCTCCCATTCGTAAGTCCTCCGCTAGACAATGAGCGAGAGAAACGTTTCCAGATAGGTTGAATAGATTTTCGTCTATTTCTTTCAGATAACTTGAAAATATTTTAAAATCATTGTTAATAAATTGATTAAATAATCAATATTTTTATTGATGTATATTTATTATCAATATTATGTATATAAAGTACTGTGCAGTCCCCGAAAAATCCCACGAACCCAAGTGGTAAAGGTAAACAGTTTTTGGAGTTATACATATTTAATTAATTTTTTATATAAATAACATATTTCTAATACTACAAAAATTATTACAACTATCAAAAATTCTCTTAGTATTAGCAAATATGTTAAACTATAATATAGAATTTAGTCTCAAATATTTTATTTTGTTATTAATAGGTATTATTTTACTAAAAAAAAAAACTTAAATTAAAACTATAGTAATTAATTAAATTATATTAATAATAATATATACCAAATTATATTTTCTAAAGTTGGTTTGTTATGATTTTGATTTACTTTTGTTTCGTTTTTTTACATGCCATTGCATAACTTATATTCGTAGGTTTTACAACGCTTTCATCAATTTATTGTTCATCGGTTGTATTTTCATTTAGAGATGGGTTCTTATTATTTTCGAACATGTATCACGACTAGTTGCATATTTAATTAACAATAAATGTTGCCTTAACAAAAATACACCACTGGGGCCACTAAAATTATCAGCCAGTTTTAGTGTTATCGACTATAGGTAGTAATACCTAGTAACTTCGTATTAGATTTTGAATGAAGCGATTGATTTTTCAATGTCCATTAATACTTTTTTATCAACAAAAATGCTTAAATTTTGGTATCAATACCTTTTCTGATAGAAAAGTGAATCTAGTTAGTACTTTGAAAAGGCCCAAAATTAAAATGTCCAACACATAAAAAAGATTGATGAAAAACATGAAAAAACAAAATTAAAATAAAACGTGAGTTTCAGTGTAATAAATCAAAAATTTGTTGTTTTTCTCTATTCTATGTTGTAAGACATAGTTTATAATACACAATTTTAATGTTGCACAGTTTCGTCCTATTTGTTATTATATTTTCACCTTAAACAGTGGTTAAGTGGGAAAAAATGTTTTGGGGAGACTGTATGCATAAAAAATTGAGGAGCCCCAACCTAATTTTAAATCTTACCAACCTTTTTTAGAAAACCTATGAGGTCTAAACCTCTTTTGTTACACTTATATGTTCATAAAAAAATTATTTTCATAGGGTGTAAAAAACAAATTTCCTCCAAAGAAAAATAATTTTATACATATGCCTGTTCAGTAAAAATAAATTGAAATACTATATTACTGTAAAATATAAATACAAATAAATATAAATACTTAATATATTATAACTACGAATTATTTCTCTTTTTTCTACTTGTTCAAATTAATCAAAAAAATAAATTTCATGTAATATTGTAATATTATAATAAGTATTGTATTTTAGTGATCAATGCCATTAAGCGTCCACCCGGACTTTTGGCGACTTAAATTAAAGAGGACGCATAATCTTACCTTAAATAAGAAGGGGGACTCTGTCCCCCTCCATCCACCACTTTAACCACTGACCTTAAATTGTTGTTAAGTCAAAATATGAAGAAAAAAAATATATATTTTGGTGCAATAACCAGGCATCTCCAGGTTTCTTTATTTTTGCTAGTTAAATTATGTATTAAAAATAATCTAAATGTAAACATGTATACGTATATAGGCAGATTTTCATTTGGGGATTTCAAATATGTTTTTAAAATAATTATACCCTCATTAGAAATCAAATAATTTGGTTATTTTTTTTCTCCTGAACAATTTCAAAAAGTGGAGATACCTTGTTCTTGCACCGAACCCTTCAATTTAAGTTATACACTTATGCTAATTTAATTTTAACATCAAGTATAAATATCACAACAGAGTTCTATACAATTATAAATGTATAACGATATTTATTTTTACCGATTTAAGTATATGGGAAAAAATAGATTAGTCGAGAGTTATGACCGCCGGAAGTTTTGGCATAAAGGAAAAAAAACCAGGCTAGTCATTTCATACAGAAAAAGAACCAGAGAAGTGTTAAATTTAATTTGATGATTAAATTATATATTAATTTTAGTTGCAAAAACCCTATTAGGTACTCGTGATATTATACTGGTTTAGCTCATTTTAGATTAAACTAAAATTTATCTGTACACATTTAATGTGTCTTTAAATTTATATGATATAAACTGCTGCTTGACAATACCATAATTATTACGATGATTATCGCTAATAGTATAAGAGCGCATTCATGTTTTCACGTCGTGAAAAATATAATTCCGTTCTATAAGTTGTCTCTTTTTTTTTTTTTTTTAGTTTGGTGTATTTCTATTAAAAATTATTTCTTTATTATGTCAACATTTTCAGACCAGGCTGAGGATGATTTATGTATGAAATCCAGAAAAAAAATAATAACTGGACGATTATCCGATGTTGGTAAAAAAAATTAATTTAAGTTCACATGAAGCGGGAAAAGACTGGAAGTGTTCGTATCTTAAATGTTTTGAAAATATTATCTATATTGATGTGAACAAAAATATTAATATTAAATTAAATCAAAGTTATATTTTAAAAATTCACTTAATTAATACTTAAGCTTGAATGAAATATATATTTTAGATGCATTTAAAATTTTACTACAATTTATCATTCACTGCTTCCATTGAAATTACAAATGATGAACTGTCATAATATAATGAACTAATAAACAATGATTTACTTTTTTGTCTGTTTGATCTTGTTTATTTTATTCATTTGAGTATTCATTCTTTAATAATTAAACTAATACTCTTAGGCTGAAAAAGAGAATTACACCATAATAAGACCTTTAACCTTTTTTTTTTTTACTGAATTTAATACATTTCAATTATTCTTTTGCATTAATAAGAAAAGGGGTCCCAAAAATATATATATTAATTTGATTCAGGATATGTAAGATGGTTCGAGAACTAGTGTTAAGAGTTTGTGTGAAATAACAAAAAGTTTTAACGTTGGATTGGGTGTGCATCAGGGGACGGCTCTTAACCTTTATTTATTCTTTGTAGTAGTGATTGAAATTACGAGAGACATATAGGGCGAGTTACCACGTTGTATGGATGATATAGTTTTGGTAGGAGGAAATCTGGAAAAAGTTAATCATAGGTTGGATGATTGGAGGTCAGCCCCCGAAGGAGAGGGATTGAAAATTATTAGAAATAAAACAGAGTATATTTACTGTATATTACACAGTATGATTTTGGAAAAAAGATACCAAGAAGTTGAGGATATGAGGAGACCAATAATAAAAAGTGGTGATGCAATAGGTGAAGCCGAGATCTTTAAATATTCTTTAAATATATTGATTATTTGTACAATAGAGTGGGTGTTTTGGCATGGAAATAAAACATAGGATTAAGTGCGGTTGGATGAAATAGAGTGAAACGTATGAGGCTGAAAGGTAAAATTTACAGGAGTGTAGTGAGACCAACTATGCTATATGATCCAGAGTGTTAAGAAGTTGACAGAATAATAGGATAGAGTATGAGTGTTACGGAAATAAGAATTCTTAGACGGATGAGTGAAATGACAAGAGAAGATAGAATAAGAACCGAATATGTGAAAGGTAAAATTGGTGTAGTGTCTATAGTGGACAAGAAGAGAGAAAATAGACTGAGATGTTTTGGGCATGTGATGAGACGTGAGGAAAACAATGTAGTAAGAGTTATTATGAAAATTAACGTTTAAGGGAAGAGAGAAAGAGGAAAACTAAAAAAAAGATTATTAAATACGATTGAGAATGATATGAAGGCCGTTGGTGTATACGTAGGAGATGTAA